ACACACACACACACACACACACACACACACACACACACACACAGATCCTTGGAGCTGGTCCCTGCACTGGCCTAAAGTCTTTTAAATAGCTGAACAGAGCAAGTGCGAAAAGCAGGAAGGGGGAAGATGAAACAAAGGAGATTAAAACTCGGGGAGAGAAGGAGAGAGGGGATGTGAAGACCTGCTCCTAGTCTCCTGTGGCACTAGCCAGTGATTTTTCTGGTGTGGTTCATGAGTAACTGGGCTGTGTCGGTCACTCCATATATACTTTCCCTCCTCGTGAAGCAGACCCTTTTTCAAGGAGCGCTCCACCGGGAGCATTAGTGAGTAAAAGGAAGGGACGATGGGATGTTAGAGGAGGGAGAGAGGAAATGAAAAAGTGCAGAGCGAGGAGGGGGAAAAGAGGGATGTAATATATGGTTCATCCTTGAAGGCCGTATCCAATTACTTGTCCATTGCAATGCTGTTTCTGTTGCCGTGGTGATGATTGGTAAGCTTTTTTCCTCCTCTCTCCCTCCCTGCACTATCCGCACTGTATCTTTTTTGCACTTTAGCGCTGGTTAATGGGAGGAGTTGGATGAAAAACATGGGCTCTAACACCGACACTGTAGAGGACAAAGAGGGCCAGTCCGAGCCAGGGAGGCTCAAATAATGTGATATAACCACTGGAGTCAAAATTTTCAAACACAACAATCTTTTGCTGATTTGACAAACCACCGACCAAAACTTTCAGATAACCACAATAAATTAAGAGGAGAATAAAACTTTAACTCTAAACTCCTGACCTTATCTACCTGGGCTCCTTTGTTTATCTCTTTGTGTTTCTTCACATACTTTGTCCTTGAGGTTTTTTTTTTTTTTTTCTGACCTAGAGGGTTGCTTAGGAACCAAACAAACATCTTTAAAAAGGCTGTTATTTTACGCCAAAGCCCCCAAAGCTTCAAAACGTAGACTCGGTCTGTGTGTGAAAGCCAGATAATTACCCTAGCACAGTCCCATCCCACTCATTCCTTAATTGGCTGTCACAAAGTTAGACAGAATATGAGGGGAAAAAAAGAAGAAAAAGTCACAGTCAAAGTTGTACCTCCTAATTGTAGGTTGCACATTACCGAGCGAAATAGCTTTTTTCTCACGTCTCACATGGACAGAAATCCAAACATGTAGAGGATGCATTTGCTTTAATCAGCACACGTGTTTAAATGTAGAAGCACGTGGGTGTGTGTGATGCATACCTCTCTTCTCGGTTCTGGCCCACACACACTCGCCCTCCGTGGCGAGGGGTCGGGTTGCTGCAGGAGCGCTGACGGACCTGGAAGCCGATGCCGCAGCTGGTGCTGCAGGGAGACCAGACAGTCCAGGGAGTCCACGCTCCGTTTCTATGGAGACGCAACATCGATGTGAGTTACTTTGGCCGTTAATGTGGAGGCGGCCAGATAATCACAACATCACAATAAGATTATCATCGCTCGAAGTTAAATCTTTCTTCTGCCATCTTTATTGTTCGGGAATAAAGAGGTGGACTTGATTGGACACAACTGCACTGAGAATTGAATCTGTAAAACGTATTTATATAAATCAACTGTCGGTGTGTGGCGCATCGTTTTTTTTGAGAGAATCACCCAAATAAATCCAAACTTAATATCTGTGATAGAAACATTGTGACTGTACAGAGGTTTCAAGCTTCCTAATACCAGCAAACAACTTGATGTGCAAGCGAGAAACCCTGTGTCCAGGTACTGCAATTCCCTCCTAGTCTAGTTCTGCCTGCACTTCACATTACGACAAAACGTAAAGTAAAGCTTTTTACTTCACTCATCCAAAACTTGACAGTCAATGTTGCAGTTCCTCAGGTCCTCAGCAACACTCCTGCCAAGTTTGAAGTCAATCGGAGACAGGCAGATATAGATTCCTCTATTTATAGTTTGATGAATAGTGTTCTAATGCTGCAGTTACAGAGATATACAAGTCTATATGAGGTGACACTGGGATGATTTAATAATCACTCACCACTAATATCATATGAGTTAAGGCCATGTGACTAGTACACAGTAAAAAGAAAAATGAACCAAAGGCTCATTTACTTATATACTTGATATAATATTTCTGTGTTACTGCCTCTCATATGTGAGTAGTAGGCTTTTGAGTTTTAACATTGAGCACTGGTAACTCATGTTAAAGGTCTCATGATGTTTTCACTAGTTCGTTTCATCTAAATTGTATGAATTGTAGTTTTCTTTACCCCAGAAAAGGTCCTTTATATTTAAATACTTTATATTCACATCGAGGGGACCCTCTCTACGGAGGCCGCCATGTTTTTTACATGAGTCCAGACTGGACAAACTAAACACCTTTTGAGTTTTTATGACAATTAAAGGCTACCACAGGTTCTTTTTCACTTTTGGAAGGGGAGGGTGAGGTGAGGGGTGTTCAGCTGCAACATGAAATTTCAACACTAGATATTACAAAATTCTACACACTGTACCTTTGAGCATTTTTCTTTTAATTTATGAGAGTAAAGCATATTTTTATGGTTAAAAAAGATAAAATAGCAATGACAATAATAGTATCAGTTGCTTTCCCTGAACTTTGATGAATGAAAACATTCAGATGTGCAGCAGGAACATCTCAGTTCATTTTAACTCAATTACAATCTGTAGTACGTCAGCTGAGAAGGTGAACAAAATCTGACAACCAGTTAACACCAAATAACTGACGCTATATAAGTCACATGATTTCTATTGAATAGTTGTGAGGACGCAGGAACAGAGTTTTTATATGTGTCTCTCTCTGTCTTTATCCAAATGTAGAGGAAACTGTTAGAGACAGCAGGATGATTTTCAGATGTGTTACTGGTGCATCACTAAAACATTTTACCTCGAGCAATTTGCAACCTCCACACTGATCCCGTGGCACTGCTGGCCCCCGCACTGAGGGGCAGGGTTATCACAGGCTCGCGTCCGACAGAGACAGGACCCCGCACTCCCGCCGTCAGTATGACTACACATGGACCAGCCTGACCAGGCACCGAAGCCTCCATCGATCGTCACATTACGGACCTGTTGGGAACGAAAAAAAGGAGCAGAAATAAAACATTTGAGGGTAATAGCTTTTCTCTGAAACCGGTTGTTGCATTAGACCGATGCTCTCAGTAATGTGTTGCTCTGGGAAACACAGCCTATGGCTACGGAGGGTGCGAACAGAAATCAATTTCCCTCAAACAGATGCAAAAAATAACTGCACAGCACCGTTTATAGCACATTCAAAACTGTGCAGTTACAGGAGCACAAATGTGCCTTAAACACGAGGAAGATGTATGAAAATTGTCAGAGGTTATGATGCGATTCCAGCAAAGCAAAACGAGTGATTCAGAAAAGCAAATGAAAGCTGGTGAATGGACACATTCACACAAGGTAGAATTTGAGGAAATAAAAAGTGGCCCCATAAATAAATATTTGAGGCAAAACAGAATGAAAAAGGAAGGTCTTCGATATTACAGGAGCGGTGAATTTACGAGTGATGTCCTGGCCAATACAAGCTAAATACAAAAAATCACTGGTATGAAATTCAGGGCTGCAGGTGAAATGAGGCTTGTCGTGGCGATATTTCAGGGTGATTTAAAAATGCAAAAGAACACTTTCACACAAGGAGAAGAGACAGCCTTATCATCAGCTGATTTGGCAGAGGCAGAAATAACATCTCGCCTGTGCTCTTGCTGGTAATTGAACTCTGCTGTGAGCCTAAATGGGCGACGCTTGGCTAAGACAGAGAACATTTGCATCACAGAAAGTAAACAGCTTGAAAGGCTCCTTTCTTTCACAAATCATTTGAGACTATAAATTATACGGTACATGCATCCATTTTATTTGCATTTGTATTATGTATTTTTTAAAGTAAATGTCTTTTTAGGGATGAGAAAATGCCCAATTTCTTTAATTAAAAAGGGAGGATAGAAAGGAGGAGACACCAGAAACAGGATTACAGATCATTTCTGAAGGATGATGTTTTCTGTGGTTATAAATAATTTCTCTTTATACCGACCAAAATTACAAAACTCCTTTTTATTCTGTAACATCAAGTTTTTTGAGTGGATGCTGATTACAATTACTTTTACGGAAGCTGTGGCGCTTACAAAATCACTTAGTGCAGACATTCAGCCAGTTTAGCTCTGATGGACTCATCGCAATTGAAACTTGAACCGGTATAAAAGCGACGGAAATCTTCCTGTCCAGATTTCATGTCTTGGCATTTCATCGCTGCAAGCAGACGAATTTCGTCGGCTTCAGTCATTTCTCTCTGTCAGCATACAACGTTATTACTGCCAGAGCTAATTCATGTTCACTCTGAATGGATGGACCTGGTTTAACAAATGTTAAGTGAATTAATAAATATTCCATCAGAGGCCTAGGCATCACAACACAAGGATTAGTCGCCACACTGCTGCTGCTGGAATGAAGTTTATCATCTTTGATCAGCTGCTGCATTTAAAGTAATAATCTGGCATTTGAGGAGATGTATTTCTTTAAGAAGATAGACATCTCACACCGTTAGACATAAAGAATGTGTAAAAAAGGAGAAGTTGTACTTTTTATGAAAGTGAGCCAGACTATTTTCTGGCAAGGAGCAACAACTCCCTGTCCACTACTAAACACAGAACTTGTTAATTAGTGAGCTTTAGGCGAGTCGGTAGATGGACGTTTTTTCATCTTTAAACACTGTCCTATCATTTCTGCTCCATATTTTCGCAAACATGAGTTGTATGAATCTTATTATTTAAATTTGGCCAGAATGCAGAAAGGGCCTTTCTCAAAATATTAGCAATTTAGATAACATGTTACAGGTTGAGATGGATTAAATGAGGCTACAACTACGCTGTGTCTTTTTCGAAAGCTCCTTCAAATGCGTAATTTCACACCCAACCAACGACAGCTCCAATGGACAGATCCGTCTCAGGGCAACCTATCCCAGGATTCATTGTGCTTCAGTGTCGATCTGATTTTCAAAGATAATGATGGCAACTGAACTGCTAACAGTATACATGTTAACAAACCGAGGGGCGTTAAAACGTTCTCATCGTGTTAAACTGCAGGTCTGTTGCTAGGCGACAGCAGTAAGGATGGGACAAGCTGTTGACGCAAATCACGGAAATCCAGCGCGGACCGAAATGACGGCGCACCTGAAGGAGGGGCCCCTGAATTGGGACACAGCTAAAGCCGAGAGTGACGCGCTGAACTGAAGATGTGCCTGTTTATGCACATGTGCGTCCACGATTGTCTGTGTCCATATGTCTGCATGTGGTTGCAGTAAATTTCCGCTCTGCTGACAGACGCCACTGGGTGCTCGGTAGCTTCAGTGCCAAATATTCCTCTGAACACGAAGCCAAAATAAAAGGGTATGGAGGCACACAGCACTCTCTGCTGTGACCGGTTAGAAAATGATGTGCAAAACACTGAAAAGAAGCTGAGCCATGCTGAAACTGAGAGGCTTACCTCCCCCTGTTTACTGCTCTCAAATTTAATGCACATTAAAATAAAGGGAAGAGCTATTTTTCTCATGAACAAGCAGTCAGAGGTGAATGATTGAAGCACAACTCTTGATTCATTTTCTGAGGTCAAGTAGCTCAGTCCCAATGTACTTTTTCTCCATACTGAGGATATGTTGCCATGGCTGCTTTGAGGAGCTGTTCTGGTAAGTTGTGAGAGCAGATGAAAGTATTACTTCTATATGTCAAGTGAGCACGGATGCAGAGTAAGGATGAGAAAAAAAAATAACAAGAGCAGCAAAAAGAAAGTGAACTACAATAAAGTACGTGAAGATTAGGGAGCAGCACGCGGTGACACTCACGGGGCATTTGGTGATGCTCTGCTCCCATTGGCTCATTCTGACACTTTCCTCCAGGGTGGTGCATTTCTTCAGCAACAGATCCCAGCCACAGTACGGGTCCCTGGCCCCCACACATGCTCTGGAGAGAGAAAGAGAGAGAGTAGTCATTTGCTTTTAGTGGACTTCAGGGAATATTAACCTGTCATGCATGAATAGAGACTGGGGAAAGACATGAAATCTGACATCGGACTGAAGAAGGAGATATGAAAGGTAAAAGACAAAGTGGGACAAAGGGAGAGATAAGACGGGAGAGGAGAAAAGACGTCAGAGTAGAAAAAAGAGAAGCAACTGAAATGAGAGAAAAGAAAAGAGAAAAAAACTGAAAAGGGCATGAGAAGAGAAATGTTAATTTTGTTTACTTTTGAATGTGGAGCACTGGGATGTTCTACAATGCCTGCATCACATCAGCATAGGAAAATTATGTCTAAACACAATGTGCTGACTGATTTTTTCAGGTAATCTTCTGCCGACGAGCAGGATTACAATTTTTCATTTGCATACAAACACACATTCATTTCTGACTCAAATAACTTATCAGCCCAACAAATAGCGATGATAGCAGTATCTGTCTTTGTTGTATCTGCTTCAGGTGCTTTATTGAGTGCAATAAAATCCCTGATGTTACTTTCTTTTTTTTCATGCAAATACGAGTCTGCAGTGGCAATGTAGCCTGACATGTCCCCTGTGAAATGTAACTTAAATTGTCTGTGGGTTTCGTCTGCAGACACAAACACAACTGCGCTCACGAAAAGGCGTGAGATCACATGCATTCATCCGTATGCACACGTAGAACTGCTCGTGCTCGTCTGCACGCAGAATGTGGCTGACGTAGCGTCTGGGTGGCTAACAGAAAGCGGAGACTTATGGTGTGTATCTGTGCGGGGAAAGGATATCAGGGGTGACGACAGTAGTGTTAAATGACAGGGAAAAGAAACAAGCTATTACCTGTCTTTCAGGGGGCCTTAAGGGCCTGGCAGATTGTACACCGCCCATCAGTGAGCTGCACAGACAGCCTTCTAATATTTCAAACAAGGACACCTCAAAGAAATGTCAGTGATGAACCCAGTAACTCTCTTTGTAGCTGCCGGTCCCTACGCGTGGTTTCATTTCTTTTCATCTGTTGTTGCTGTTTTTTTTCCCCGCTCTCTCTCAAAAGAAGAAGAAAATGTCACAGAGGTGATGAAGTGCTGTAATGGCTGCAGTGAATAACACAGAGTCACAGCTGTAATATGAAGCCTTAACTCTTCCGTGCATTCCAATAACAGCTCAATGTGTGCGGAATAAGGAATGCAAGGTGTGAGCCCGTCCCTGCGCGTGATGATGAATGGGATCCCAATTTTGGGGTGAGTCTTCACACCTCGGCCTGTGTCTGTGTCTTTGGTTTTCTTTGGCAATATTTATGCCTCGACGGAGCGTCTTCCACACAGACAGAAACTCAATATATCTGATAAAAACAGGCACTGCTGCAGCAGAACTGTGCGCGAGACGGAAACATGCACATTTCTGAGACAACTAGTGGAAGACAGTGAGACAGACGGGCAGAGGGCAGCTATGGGCACCTCCAGTGGCTCAGACAAAAGCTGATTTACAGGGTTTTAAATCTCAGCAAAGGCCCCTGACCAACAAAACAGGCCTGGCCCTCCCAGATAAAGAGCATCTTATGAAAGAGGGAGCTTTAAAACTTTGTTGTGTGCACATTTGCTTTTGGCAATTTCCATTGAGATTAATGGTGTTTGTGTGTGAATGCACTCACTCCCTGCTCTTGTGGTAGCTGCATCTCTTCAGCGGGATCTTGATGACCTGGTCCCTCACGCCCACGTAAAGCTCGCTGCGGCTGTGAAGGATCAGCAGGCTCCGGATCGGCTGCCTCTTCCTGGGCGGGAACAACTCGATCTCCTCCAACAAGCAGCTCCCCGTCGACTGATTGAGAGGGGAAAGCACTTTCCTGATAGTCCCATAATCTGCAAGGAAAGAAAAGGGGGACGTGGGAAGGATTTGGTCACAAAGAAGAAGGAGAGTGTTTATCTGCACGAGTAAAGGTGATGCAGGGAAGGAGAGGGAGGGTAAGAATCGCTGGGTTTTAAGAAGAGAAAAACAAGCACAAAAAAACATCTTGGATAAGCAAAACTGAACACAAGCTGGCGCGAACTCAGCGTGAACCACCCAACAAACACTCCCTAACTAAGTCAAAAAGACTGTTGGGGGCCGGCGTGCCAAGCTCAGTTCACCATCAACATACAGCGCTGTCGATGCAACCAGGGAGGTGGTTACGGCAACTGAATACATGATTTCTGTCCCACTTTTCTTTAAGGAGATATTCCAAAAAAAGAAACCATTTAGCATTTCTGAAAGAGAAGAGTGTGTAAATCAACGTCATTGTGAATACGTCCTGACCTTTATTTTATGTAAGGTGGGCCCCTGTGAGATAAAGTTAGTGGCAGATTTTCTTTTGGGAGAGCTAAAACAAACATCATCTATTATACATGAAATCCCCTGCGTGCAGAAACAAGTAATTAGGTGCACGGACATGCCAAAGGAAGAAGGGTGAATTGCTAATAGGTGCAGGGATGTAAAAGTTAAGTATTGCCCCAAGCGGTTGGGCAGTAACATATGACTCACATGTTGTGTGTTCATAGGGGGTTGCTAATGTTATTCACTGCAAAGAAGCTTTAAGGAACTAAGGTAGCTGCCCTGCACGAGCCTGCAGCTTCTCTGTGAGGACAGCACATCTGGAGAGAGAGTGCTAACTGTGGCTCAGTCGTCAGATGCTTGTTAAACCATATAGTGAGTTATTACTTTTACGATTACACATTAATACAATATTACATTATACAGAGAAAATGACATAATAAATGTCATATAATGTCTGATCCTTTTTCAAAACTACATGGAGCCATGGGGCCCACATTCTCAGTGATGTATGATATGGACTGAAATACAATGTCGTTTTAACCTTTCTGCCATAAAACCACACTTTACCACTTGCTTCAAGACGGGACTGCAGTACTTTTATTATGGTTATTATTATTATGTATTTATATTGCATTGTAATAAGGACTTGAATAATTACTATTCTTTTGATTCACTATTTTTTTATACCTTACTTTTACTTTAAAACACCCACTATTCTTATCATTCTTTTTTTATATGTGTTAAAATAATTGTGACATGTAAATGTGGGAATTTAATTCAAGGCACCTTTGTATTATTAATTACATTATTAAGTTATGCCCTTTTTCAGTGATAGTATTAAAATGATCCTTTTTGCAGATGAAAATCTACCTGATGCAACTCAGGTGCAATTCTTGCTCACGGATGAGGTACTGTAATAAAGTTTAATTCACATTACACAGCAAATGGCAATGAATAACTGTGATACATTATGTGTGACTAATACAAAAAATGGAAGAAAATTACTGACTGCTAACTGGCTAACTGGCTTACAGTGTGTTTATTTGCCATTCATAATTTGACGGCCACACCACAGACAAAGGGGATATAATGCAAATAAAAGGCAACCAAAAAGAAAAGTCCCATTAGTTTGAATAAAATTGGGCATTTCTCTGCATCTGAACATTGTAGTTATACAACAAACAAAATATGTAACTTAAGTCTAGTAGTTTTTTAGACATTTAAGTTATATGGTATGTTATAACTGAATGCTGCTCATGCTGACTGAAGGAGTAAAAAGTTGCTGCAGGCTTGAAATTACTAACCAGTGCCAAATGACAATTTAGATGAAATCCACTTCTTTGGCCCCTAACGTAGATCTATCGGGTTCTCTGCTGCGGCCCCAATCAGCAGAGTGCGTTTGAGCATTAATAATGGCATACGATTAGGTACAGTATGTACGCTACCCAATGGCTTTGGCAGTGTTTCAGATGTTTTCATTAGTGTCTGGTTAGTGTCTGGGGAACTTGCAGTGTGGGCAGCTCCGGTCTGACGCTACATTGATCACAGCACCATGCAAACAATGAGAGGGGAGTTTTTGACGGAGATGCCAAGCACCGAGGCAGTGAACTGGAACAGGTTGTGTGTCTGTGTGTGTGTGAGTGTGTGTGTGTGCCTGTACTGCCAGCGACATATCCTAAAATAACACAACTACAGGAAGATCATGTTGACATTTCCCACTGGGCCTACGGTACATTATCACAGTGAAATGGGTCACTATGTTCAAATTCTGTTCTGTACATCCGGCCGTAATCCATACACTGTGTTACATCATAATACAGAACAGACACTGGTATGAATCTGCCATCGTGTTGATACAGTTTCCAGCTCTTTGCCAAGTCTAACATCACATACTGTCTCACCAGTATGATTAAACATTGTGCTGATAAGCAGGCAGTTTCATGCAGTTCATACAGTATCAGGGTTAAATGAGAGCCGTGTGTATTATTAATTACCCCCTGTTTTCCTTTGACATGTCCCATGCTTACTATGCTCTTTTGTGCAGAAAGTGCATATAGTTATGTGGTGCTATGTGTGCGTGTTCTGTCGGTGCATATGGAGAACACATGGAGGTAAAAAGTGATTAAACTTGTGTCGAAACAACGAGCTTTGATGTCTCCTCAGAACTGAAGATCTATTGGCTCCTTTATTCTTGTTGCACGCCTGTTTTTCTCCTGCAAAAAAGGACTTCAAGGGCGTAAAGCAACTGAAGTATTTATCTATAAAAATCAATGGTCTGAAATTTTAAGTATTTATCTATAAAAATCAATGGTCATTAATGTATAAGCAACAATTATTGCATATATTATGTGCATCTATCTAATAATTCCAGAAATCTCTGTCTGTCTGTCTGCGTGCGTGGAGAACCGTGATCAGCTCCAAACTTGGAATTTGGAGAAAGCAGCCTAATGCTTCAAACCACTAAACTGATGGTGCACATGCATACAAGCCCCATCTAAACAAGAGTACAGACAAACATAAAAGACAAAACAAAACCACATGTGAAATAACCAAAACTCTTATATTTTAAAGCAAAGTGTGTGTTTATGTAGGAACCCACTGCTCGTATTAAAAAGCCCATTGAGAACATGTGTTTCCAGGGACTTCAAGAAACCACCAAATCCTCGGAGAATGTAATAAATGAAGCATGTAAACATAGATACCACACATGGATGAAAACAGACCAATTTTGCTAAACATTTAGCCAAGCAAAGGAAAACAACCATTAACACACACACACACACACACACACACACACACACACACACACAGGACACACAGGACACATGTAGAGACACATACACAATGCTGCCGGTACCTACCAGTTGCCAGGTATATGATGTGAAACAGCATGTCTTTCCCCTGCACCACATCCACTGCCACATGAGAGAAGCGCACATTATCCTCCATGAAATACGGCACGGGAACCACGGGTTGGACCACCTCGTGCATCAGCAAGAACTTCTGGGCGTCCTGCAGGTTTCTTTCGGTCAGGTTCACGTAGGTGCCCGAGTCGATGGTGCCGCACTGTGGGGTGAAGTGGGACAGGAAAAGGTTTGACTGAAAGCTGTGCTCCTCAAGAAGGCAAGCGACATTAATAAGCCTACGAAGTCATGATCAGAAATCCAAAAATTCAACCACAGACAGGAAACGTGAGGGATTGAATGATTAAATGAAGAGGCTTTAAACTCAATTGCTTCCTCATTGCAGTGGTTTGCTGTCCTCTCAACCTTAAGGCCTTGTAGTCAATACACTGAGGCTGATGGAAGCAGAGTGAATTAATGTTGAACTGAGCAAGTAGTTATATCTTTTATTAGATTCCTCCTCATATGCATATATATTGCTGGTGAGGTTTACTGGTATCCCAATAATAATGTTTTTCAGAAAAAAGCATTTTAAGAATGACATCATATTTAAAGCTTCTTAACTGATACTCGTATTTTATAAATAAAAATGTTGCAATATCATTCACACAACATGAGTCCCAGAGGATTAATACTATTTTTTGGGGACTCAAGTATCAAAATGACTCACACTTGAGATTTCAGGAGCCTAGAAAACATTGCAGTTCCAAACACAGTGGTATCTCACATTAATAAGCACAAGTAGATTTGATTCTCATGCATTTGAGTTGGTTATTGTTGACTCTCTATGTCCCAGTCGAGTTATGCTGCAGCAGCAGAATTACTATCGCAGCAAACAGGTATAATGTGAAATATCTGATATGTAAGATATTTCCCACAGTTTTTCTCCCCTGAGTTCAATAAAAGGTCTGTTTGTATTGGATAGGATATGGTATATTAAATAATACACTGTGATCAGAGGCACGACTAAACACCACTGTCCAATAATAATATCCAAAGTTTACATGTTGATAGGTATTTTTCGCATGGTGTGACAGAGACAATATTCTCTTTTGGGGTGTACATTAAGTGTCTTTTCTGCCAAACAGAGCCGGACAAGGTGACGCTCACTGCTGAGCTGAGGCAGAGCGGAATGACTAAAGCTAACCATGCATGTCCTTTTCAGTAAAAGAGGTCTCAGGCTGGGGTCAGGATTTTGGATTGAAATCCCATCCCTACAAAGAAAAGGCCCTTTCCTAGAAAAAAAATTCAAGCTGTAATCCACCATTACACAAACCCAAATGACTATACTGTTCTTTTGAACACAGCAACTCAGAGGGGCTGCACAAAGTTGCTCGAAGCTAATCATACACAGCATCGTCGAACAAGAATAAAAACGGGGCCTTGGGTGGCGATTAGTTCCTGCTGACCAGCTCCAGTAGCAGCAGCACTGAGACTTTACACAGATCAATCTTTGGCCTTCTCCTGGAATGACAGATGAGAGACGCGGAGGGCTTCCCCTGAATGGGAAACGGATCAGTGCCCTCGCTACATCAGAAGATGGGAAATTAAAGCCCTGAAGGACGAGGGAAATGCGACACTAGTGTTTGTGTGCTGCAAATATGCCTCCTGCTTATGGCAAAAATGTATTCCACACGTCTGGTGTCGGCCACATAATGACCAATGTCTAAGGTTTCCTTTTGTGGTTTGTCCTTGCATTGCGTGTGTGTGTATTAAATCCTAAAATGTGTCATATTTCTGCCACAGTGAGACAAAGCATAGGCGCTGACCACTGAGGGCCTGCGACACCTGTGAATGCACAGGGAGATGGATGCTGATGATTTCCGTTGAAGAGTCAAGGTGAGGGACATCATTTGGCTGAGGGCCCGTACAACACCCAGCTGTCCCGCTCATCATCAGTTCACGGTGCTCTGCCAGAATGATGAGCGCCACTGAGATGTAGGGTTGTTGTGTAAGACTTGTATTTGCAAAATGGGCTTTTGTTTAAAATGCATCCTGAGTTGTTTAAAATTTCCCGCATCCAAATCATAATTACAGTGTTTTATCAAATCATTTATCATGTTGAAAGGAAAGCAAAGAAAACTGACGTCTCATTAATTGTTTGAAATAACACAACTTTCCATCAGCATTTGGCTCCGAGTTTAACTTTACATATCTTCCTATATATGGAGCTTAATAATGAAGGTATTTTTTTTACAGTAAATAACTAGAGAGTGACAGTAAACCTATACAACACAGAGACATTATTAGCTCCTAATGCACAACGAACATGACCCATTACCTGAATAAACCAAGCAGGATCAATCCATGTGGTTCAAATAAATAGGGGACAGACAGAGAATTAAGCTCTCAATCAATGACCAGTGTGTTGTGATGAGTTCACAGTCATAATTACCCCTATTTGGCAGCAGTCTATAACCCTGTCTTTGTGTGTGTGTGTGTGTGTGTGTGTGTGTGTGTTTGTGTGTGTGTGTGTGCGTGTGTATTTGTCTATAAGACTTGAAAGTGGTCAGTGGCTTTCTCCAGGTATATATCTCTGCAGGTGCATGTGTGTAGGTGTGTGCACACGGAGGGATGAAAACAGACAGGCCATAAATCCTGAGCTCGTAAATCTAATCCCCCAACATTGACAAATGCTTGATTAAGATGTCACTGAAACCTAGATAAAGTGCGCATCAGTCTAGCGCTGAGGAGAAGCTATTGTACTGGGGCTTAAGTGGAGAGATGGGGATAGAGAGGAAGAACTGATCCTTGTTTATCCTTGAGGAACACAGCCTTATGAAAGCCTATGGTACATGGAAACCCCTTTATTATGTACCTGAAGTGTGCTGAACTGGATAAATCTGTGGTCAGCGTTGACCAGATAGTGAAAATTGGTTTTCTTGAGGCTAAGCAAATTTTATTACTAGCGGGTGACAAGCAGAGATATGTGCATGCATGAAGGCAGTGAGACGCTTCATATGTCACACAGATTTGTGGGAGTGTGCATGTGCATTTTTTTTTTCTAAACTGTCACAGCTAGCACTTTTTCTGCATGAGCATGTCATTATAGATAACATGTGTGTGTGTAACTTCTCGATAGGAGGCATTACGAGGCCCCTTGCCTCTGCCCGGTTTGACGGAAACATGATGGAAGGGCCATGATGGGAAACACGTGTGGAAGTGAGACGTGTGTCATCCGCTGGCAGCCGGGCGTCAGAGGAAATTCAATCCTTCATGGAGAGCCGCGTGGATTAGCTCCCTCAATATCTGCTAAGCCTGTTACAACTGAGAGCCACTTCTGCTGCTAATAAAACATCGGGATCGAACAGCGCCTCATATCGGGATGAAGTGCCCCAGCGTTGCTTGGGGATTGCCACCCCTTGGTTTCAGGACAGAGTATAAACATAAAGTGGCACTTGTGCAAAACAACAAGTTTATTAGGAAGGACTACAGAGAAAAAGAAGAAGGCATCTTAATGGAGCGACTGTGCGATTGTTAAAGTCACTGAATTTTATAACGAGCGGTCGTGATGTGTGCTCATGAGCAGAGAGAGGGCTGATTCAAAGAGAGAGGAAATTAGTGAGAGTGATGCCCTCATTGGGACTCAGAGGCAGAGTCATCAGGATGAACACATACATTCCATATGCATACATTTCCTCAGGCGTGCACCCAGCTGTGCATATTGTTTGGCTGATTGGACAGCGTGTTGGGTATAAATTACCTCACCATTAGCTGTGCATTTAAATTCACACAGGGAGTTTACAACGCATCTGAATAAACATGTTTTTAACTGTGCAACTAACATGGCTTTAGAGATGGAAATGTCCTGTTGTCTGATTGGTTGTTATCTGCACCAAATTCCACACATGCCTGATTGCTTTCATCAAGATCCATAAATTATTTTCTGAGAAATAAACTAGAATGTTAAAAATCTCGCCATGTAAACAAAGTTCATGGATCTGCCCCCTGATTCACATCTGCACCAAAATGTAATGGATTATCCCCTGATGTATTCTGCATGATTCCCCCAACTGGTGATCCATAATGTTTTTGTTTTTCTTTTGTAATCTTTCTCTAAAACTAACAAGCCAAGAAACAAAAGGACAGTGGTGGAAACAAAAACCTCCTTTACAATGATTCCAAAAGAGCAGAGCAGAGCTGGCTGTAAACTCTTTGTCTTCTTCCACAAACAAGCTGTTTTGTTACCTGAAAGTCCGGGTTGGGGTTGGGGTAGGGCAGCCAGGCCGACCGTGAGTTCTCCTGGTACTTGAAGGGCCCGTTAAAAACCTGCGTGATGGCACTGAGGTTGAAGGCACAAACCGCAGATGCAGCAATGCTGTTTCTGAATGTCAGGAGAAAAAGGGAAGAGGAAACAAAAGGATGAGAAGATGGAGGGGGATGGTGGGTGAGAGAGGGAGAAGCAGAGGGAGGTATATAAGTAAAGACATTTTGAAAAGGACACCGAAGCACCAGCAGGAAACTGAAGAGATTTTGTTGCTATTTGTAAAGATGACCTCTCTACGTTTACTACATTCACCCAAAAATACAAATCAAACCCCAAATAGACGGATGCAGACGTTGCTGTAAGTGATTGTCATTAATGGGCTGTAAATCAGGCAGAGGACACAATTAAACTGTGCAGCTTGTCTGATTAACTGTTCAGATCTCAGGCCTGAAATACAGCTTTGACTTTTTAAGCTGTCAGTTTCAACAAGTACCATCTCTCCCCTCTGAAGAGAAAGTAAAGAATGAGAGTATTAACTCTCAACTCATACTGTGAGACTTGGGCGATGTGAATTATAATCCATTGCGGCTGTTCATTAAACTCTGTGCCTGCAGGGGGAAATGTTTCCAATACCCTTCAAAAAACTTCTTTTTCAGCAAAGTGAAGGCGTTGACCATAAAGAATAGATTACTCAGCTTTTAGTAAATGTGTGTGTGTGTGTGTGTGTGTGTGTGTGTGTGTGTGTGTGTAAGTATGAGAAGGAAAAAAAACAAAAAAAACATGGCGAGATAAAAAGAAGAAAAGGTTGATGTGTTTGTGAAATAGAAAACAATAGTTTACATCCCTCTGCTACATCCCGCTCTGTTTACATGATACAGTGTAATAATAACCTTCTTTTATTAGATTTAAATGTCAGATGGCTGCTATGTTATGCAACCATGTTTGAAGATGGTTTGGGAGAGGATTTATCTTTTAAAATAAACTAGTTATTAAACTACTTGGCCTTAAACAACCTTGTCAAATGTCTTTCATTAATGTTCACTATGTATTGAACAATAAGTACTGTATATCTGCTCGTAACAGTTGACGTTCCGTTGACTAAACTGAACGTTGCCAGGTAGAAACGAGAAAACATACGATTTCATTGATTCGTCGGAAAATTATTACAAGTTTTTGATGAATTTTGTAAACTTCCTATGTGCAAGAACAGAGAGCAAAACCAGTGATGGGGTCTGAACTGTGGATTAAAAATCTAATGGAACATTGTCACATTTTGTAGGTATGAAGAAAGTAAAATATGATGTTTTAGATGTTTTAAAGTATTGAACTTTAAAACATCTCATGTTACTCACACGTTGGTGGTAAAAATGCCATAAAGCAGCTCCAGCTCAGGCAGGTAAAATGTTCCCTGCAGCTCGTTGTAGTTGAAGGGGATCTCTCCGGGTCGGGAGCAGTTCAGCCTCGCTTTCATGAAGGTCGTCCACGTGTCCTCCAGGAGGAAGCGCCCGCCGATGTCATTCTTACAGACTCGCCCAGCGCGGGAAAACACGGTGCGGCCGCAGTCGTGCTCCACGGCGTTTTCCCGGAAGAAGAAGTAGGTGAAGTTACCGATGTCGTAGGAGGAGACGAAGTTGGGTTCTGTCAAAGAAAGCAGAAACAAGATGAGTGGGAGAACGACAGAGAGAACACAGAAATAAAACCTGAAGACAGCCAAGAGAAAGATGGAGTGCGGAGAGAGAGGGAGGAAATACCACAAGAAAAATATTTAAGGTTGCGGTGGCGAGAGGGAAGGGGAGAGTGAGCGGGTGTATGCTATGACTGATTGACTCAGTGTGTGTGAGAGTGCGGCCCACACAACAGCAGGTGAACAGGATTAATAACTACAGACTTTGTTATTAATGGCGTTGTGTTGTAATAAGAAAACTAATTTTTCACTCCCTACACCTAAAGGTGAAGATGAGAAATGGACAAAACAGGTGCAGCGTAATAACTCTCGGTGTATCTGAAACACGCAACCTACACAACACTGTCACGACGAGGCGTTCATCTTTATGTATGACACTATTGGATCTAAACTGCACACTTTATTCTCGCTGACAGTGATTTAATCCACCTTTAAATGAAAGCGTGTCCCCCCCCACCTCACCTCATTTCAATCCCCTCTCCTCGGCACCCTCAGAGGGCGGGAGGGGGGGAGACAGAGGAAAAAAAATCAATTTCCCATAAAATTAGTGATTAAACTTTTTTCTCAGAAGGTTGAATGCTTTTTATTTTCAATTTATCTTAAATGTGAATCAGATAAAAGACACTTGCTGACAAGATACTGATTCAGCTGCTCCGCTGCGGGCTTGACACCTTAAGATGTCTGAAGTTCTCCGACCTGCACTGAGGGGGTCAGCATTTGAAGGGAGTCTGAGCTCCCAGGGAAGAAGACATTGATTTTGGATAAATATTACGTCTGTCACAGAAAAGCTGAGATGAATAAAGATTTCTTTAGTTGCTTAGTAACTTTCGAGATAATTGCTTTTTGCAGACAAAAGGCAACAGAACAGTTATGAAGACAGAATCTTGTTCTCCTGAATTCGCTGCACCACTTAGCACAGCCTGATTGTGAATGGAGAAGCAGAACAATCCTTTAACCAAGAGGGCGACGGATTCAAACTCCCATGTTAGATAACCATCTGCCAAGCTTAACTATGCTTGTGCAACACGCTGAATCCCCACCAGCTGGAGCATTGATGTCATTTTTGTCCGTTATTGTGTTTCTTAATATTAAATATCCATCTTTTTTATTCTAGCATGTTTTACACTAATGCAGTGCCCACTCTAAACGAGACTGTGATACTGACTGCAGCTATCAACCGCATCCTGTTATATTTTGTATCATCAATATTTTTCATAGATTGAAACTAAATTGCTTTATTACTGTTCAGGTGTGGTTTATATATAAGTTTAAATGATTTACTTTACTATGGACAAATCTTGGTTTTCAAAATAAAAGCTCAGTGATTCGGCTAGATGTAAAGCACTGCAGCAAAAAAAAATACGTGGAGCTTTTATATTGTATAATAATAATTGCAAAAGAGGAAGTGTTTATATCAATGTTGCTATCCGTGTGCTGTAGGATTCGACTTCTGCTGTCGTTTATCTGAGGACGTAGCAGATATATACCATTGAGCCACTTGGAGTTGTACTGGGCGGTGCGCAGCGGCGGAAGGCCACCCAGGCTGCGGTAGATGGCGGGATCTCGCCCAGAAAAGTCCATGGCAGTGGCGGCATAAAGCTCCCCGCTGGAGGTGATGAGAGCGGTGGAGTTGTGCAGCGGGTTGTAGGGACACCGAGCCATCCCACTGATCTGATCGTGGATCTCTGTCAGATTAGTCAACTGTAACACAGAGAGGGAAGCGGTATAGGGAAGAAAAGTTTAAAATGGAAAAAAATCAGTGTTTACAAGACACAGACATCAGTCCAAAAAGAATAGCAGTAAACCCTAAGTTAAGACGGTAAAAATAAGAAGATACAATATCTGTGGGAGCAAGGTGCATTTTTGTGTTATTTCTAAATAATGGATGAGTGTAGAAAACCTGCATGAAAATATAGGAGGAATTAGAAAAGGGCAGCAATAAAATCCAAATAGGAGTAGTCTGGTAATAATTTGTTTGTTCCTGCCAAACACACACAGATATATAAGAGCAAAACCTTCAGGAATAGAAAACATAATCAGCAAACGCATTAAGAATCATTAGCAGTGTAAAACACACAATCAGAGCAGCTGCCTCAAGTCTAATGTTAAGAAACCACCTGTTAAGAAAGCAGTAAAAATTCCTACAACAGGCGTCTTAAATCAAGTTAACTCTTGAATGCAGCGTTTCCCTGGTTTGGCTTCTGATGTCTGCACCACACAGCCAGCTGTTAGCCTGCTTATAACATTATTATACCGTAGCCCATCTTAAAAAAGGCTGTGTGAACTCAAAAGAGCCTTGATGTAGGATACAGTCTTCTCTTTGCATTCTGCCTTTGAATATGAAGCCAAATCCGACTCCCCGCTTTTTAAAACATACTTTACAGCATGACGCTGGCTTAGTCCTGACACACTGCACTGGTTCCTACTTTAAAGAAAATACAGGCCATAGCTCAGTGACTCAGCCTTGAATACGAAAAGGACGAATGTATTTTTTTTAAATCCAAGATGTAATTACAGCTTGTGGTGCAAAAGTAAACACGGTATGAGGATTAGCTCGTGGTTTGTACTTCCATCCAAGGCCATCTAAGTATGGGCTGATGCAAAGTAAGAAAGATTGCACTCTCCTTATATCCTGTTTTGAAATGTGCAAAAGGCAATTAAAATTATTCCACTTGCAATTTTCTGTCAATCAGTCAGCTTCCACATATTTGACTCAGTCGGAAAGACCTCGAGGGACGGTGAAGGCTGTCGAGTTCAATCTCACCTCGCTCCTCGCACTTTCAGATTTTCACCGACTGAATAATCTGTGGGCAGCTCTTCCACACAGGAGGTCACACTCCTTTCACTCCTTGGGGGGGGCATGCGACTTCTTTAGCCAATTTCCTGGAGCCGGTCAATTTAGATGAAGGGGTTTCTGTTAACTCCTGCCACCTCTGCTCCATCCCAAACCACAACAACAACAGAGCAGCCCTGTCTGAGCCTCGACCTCGGATGAAAGCCCGGCATTGACAGGGTTTGTTCTGTGGGCTGGAATAGCCACTCTGAGGTCAATTGGGTCATTTAAAAAAAAAAAACCAAGAGATAAATAGATTGACTGCAGTGCATCCGTTGCATTTTGAGGGAGCGGAGTGAAAGTGGTCTCTATAGTGGCCCCAGCAGCTGTGGGATTCTGTACTTTGAATGCCTCTGATAGAGACTGTTTCTGAGAGGGACAGCTCACAGTTCAGACAGACTGCTGTGAGAGCCGGTTGGGTTCCACGTCTTGTGCTACTGACACATTCTTATGAATACTGAGAGGATTTCAGTTACCCTCAATGACAGGGATTGTAGCCACAAGCATTACATGTGATCTGAGATCTATTAGTGGATAGGATTTTCACTGATACTCCACCGTGGATGGCAAATGACAAATCCTCGCAGCTATATCCGTCAAAAGAGTGTGAACATAATGTCATAAACAACTTCTTTATCTGGAGACTGCTCAATCTTAACGTGAGCATGACTTTACAACTTTAACATGTGTTTTAAAACAGCAAAATGATTAATCTAAACAGAGGATAATAGTCAGGTGTCCATCCAAATGCAATTCCTGAACTCAATTTCCAGGTAAAAAGCAAAAAGAAATGCAAATGAATGCGTGTGTGTGTATCCCCTACTGCTGTGCAAATATAAGTTTGTTCAAAGAGATTAACAGTTGCTTTATAACAATTCTTCAGTCGTCTGTAATTATGGCACCGCAGACCAAGAGGACACAACAAAATGACGTTACCGAAGGAGCGTCAGTCAAACTTCAAATGATGGAAAACAATGTGGAGAAAACAAAGCTGAGATACAGAATTAGTTTGTTTCATGTACTAATTGGAGGAGCTCCTCATCACCAGTCAGTTTCCACAGGACTTTGTTGCATTACGGATTTATCAGGACGCAAACTTTCCCACCTCAGCTGAGTGTAATAATCATATGTCTGAAAATGCAAATGGTTTCAATAGATGTGGAGGCTTTCCCAAAAGTCAGACTTAAACAAAACTGTTGTAAAAACGAGGTTATTTACTTAAACAATTTACTAACAGTTACAGATATACCTTATAACTGGAACAGTTTATGTCAGTGTTGTTTGTAGGCTGATATTGAATATATTCATAATATATTCAATATATTGAATAATATATTGTATATAAAATATTGAATATATAAATAATATATACAATATTCTGCAGGATTATATTACACTGATTATACAGTACATCACATACTAGTACTGCACCTTTGTGTATTATTTAATTACCGACTACCGTGAACAGGAGCATATTGTATATGTTATTTGCTAATGGTGTTTTATAGAAATACATTTAATTGCTGTAGTATTTTTCCATGTGGGTGGGGAAAGCTAATGAGAACTCAAACACCAAAAAACAGAATCAGCTTTATAGTCATAAGGTCCATCAGTATAACACCTGCCTTATTATCTAATCATCTGCAATCTGAGTTACTGGCAGATTGTTTGATTATTTACCATTAAAACTTCAGTTCAAACTACAAGATGATAAGGAAAACAATTCAGCTGATTCTGAATTATAATGAGAAACATGACAGTCACTAACAACATATTTCTTTGTTTAAATTATCTTTCACTTTAGAAAGCCTTCAAAATATGTCTTTTATGTTTGTACAGAGAACTGACTGAGACCTCCCTCAATGACCTGGGAGAAGAAACTTTTTTCATAACTTTCATTATCATTATCATGCTCGTACACAACAAATGGCTAAAATTCAGAGGAAGCACTTTAATCTATAACCAGAGCTCTGATTAAACTAATAGAATATTCTGCACCCCCTGTTCATCCATCACAGCTGATAGTAAATCTTCCTGAGCGTGATTCCATGGCTGTTCCTGTGGCCGACCAGTGTTTCACATTAGCGGACGTTCAGTGGATAAATATGACAGGTCTGATGAAATACTGCTATGATAATGTCATGACATTTCTACTATATGTATTTCCACAGTGGTAAACAGCCATTATGAGTCAGTGACCTTTGTATGCAGTGCTTTTGGACAAAAACAAATGTCATCATAATGGTAAACCCCATGCTTCCTGCTCCTCTGTTATCCCACTGCACGAAACGTAGCTTCAACACTCTGAAATTTTACATGTTGTTCTAAACTTCACTTCAGTCGGCCTTGGTCACCAATAGGTTTCTTAGCTGATACTTATGCAGAGAAACATGGTTTTTAGCACAAACCAGTGGTGAATTATATAAAAAAATAATGCTCTTACTGTGTCAAGACCCTGCTGTGTCAGCATGAGATTTAAGAAAGAGAAGTAAAATACACCACACAGAACTACAATTAAATATAGAGGAAAAGACAACATGATTATATAGAGAATATAGAAGTTAATAATTGCAATGAGAAGGGCAAAGCAGCACATTGAGACAAAGACTGTGTTTACTCATAAACATGATTATTGGCAGTGATGAGCCTCAGACAATATTTTGACTGCTATGTTCAACAAGTTTCAGGTAACGCCACTTCTGAAATAATCACGCTTCATAAGACTCATCACATAATTTGTCTATGTCACTGACTGCATGGTGGGAACAGCTATGAGAGCCGATACTGTAAAGCCTGAGATATGAAGAGCACGACTCAATCGCACCTTGATTAAACGCGTTGATCATCTTTGACCTTTCCTTCTGACATTGTTGGTTCGATCAATAACACTTAAATCTTATTTGTAGTGTTATCCGACTTATTGTGTATGAAATATTACTCTTATTCAAGGATAATGGTTTATTAACGTCCGTTTCTGGAGTGTTCACTTATGGACTTTCAGGGCACAGTGACTAATAAATGTGACACATGCAGAATTACAGAAATATAAAAAAACACTGGAGCCACTGCAGCTGCTGTCAACATCCATATTCTGCACTGCGGAGCGGCAAAAGGCTTTTGGATTTTGACTCAAATTCTCTAAATTCCGCGAATCAACAATGCAATGAAATTGAATTTTTTTGCAGAAGTAGAGAAGAGTCACTAAAGATTTGCAAATACATAAGCTACTGCTGCTCGCACGCCAAATTAGGCTGCATTAGCACAACCTGAGCAAATTGACCTGCTGGAGGCTTATTTTTATTGCTCGTGACAATTTTGTGAGAAGTGTTACATCACAGCGACCACTCAACAAAATAAAACAACAGTCCAAGTTAGCATTTATACCAAATTTGGATTGACAACCCAAACAACATAACACCCAAGGCCACAGCTGCAGCCTGCCGTTAGTGTGGTTTACATAAGATAACACCAGAGTGATAGCTTACATGACTGTCAGTGAGCAGGTTACAGGTTGTGTTCACAAGGTCATTTACATATTAATAGTTGCCTTAACGGCTATAAGATTAAATAGTATTTGAATTAACCATAGACTGTAAAGATGGGCAACCAATCTCCACTTTATCCCACTATCCAGAAATTAAGCCACATAACCCATATGAACACCGCCATCTTGCAAATTTAGGGTCTACATAGCAGTGATCGGTGGATGGAGCCACGCCAGATGCAGGACTTTGACTTTAAACCCGAATCAGTCTCACCTGTCAATCGTATATATGTTTATATAGTTTTTTTCATTTATAGACAGTATAAATGCAAACACCCAATCTCAAATCTTGAAAGATAGGGGGCAGAAATGAGAAGAATCTTATGTAATCTGCCCCTTTCACAAGACTAATTAACAAGCAGATAATTCAATAACATTTAAAATATCATCAATCATGATATTTCATTCCTTTTTCTAGCATTAAAGAACAAATCAAAGCCAAAATTATCGTAAACACTTGCACATATAACTCCCTTTCATGTCCAAAGAAAATGTACTTGATCTATCCCAGGAGGAGGCACGATTAATAGCCTTTAAGATAAGATAAGACTCTTTACTTTTGGCTTCACTTTTGGGAGCAGTCATGTCGTCCATCTTTATATATCTATGTCTACGGTATGAACCAAATATAAGAATCATGGATGGAAGAGAGAATGTTCTTGTTCCTACCGTTCGGTTGGTGCAGATGGGGGTGAAAGCATTGGTTCCACAGGTAAACAGCCTGTTCCCGTTCACCAGCAGCACCCTGATGTAGTTCTGGCATTCCTCCTGTGGAAACACAGAGAGCAGTTAGCAGCAGCACCATTATCTGTCTATTGACAAGCAGCAGTGTTGGGCAGGGGGGCAAAATTACACTTTGTGCCAATAAATGAGACAAAAACCTGCAACCGCGAGAAAGCGACTCTAAAACGTGGCCAAGCTTGATAGAGTCAAATCAAGGCTAATGCCTGCACAGCTTAGCTGTCTCACATCTTAATTCAACAGGCACCAGATGTGGAGAGGGATCTGAACAAGGTGGAGGACAGATAAATGCAGCCGGCGTGGGAGAGGACCACTCAGGATTAGTTTAGAAAATTCCCTGCGGCTGTTGTTGACCGGTCAAAAAGTGAATTAGAAGTGTAGCCTCTAATATACATCATTCAATCATGTTTCTTTTTAGCCTCGCTCTCTACATTAATCAATTCAAACCACTTGTCTCTAATTTATGATGAAGTACATGCTCACCACTCTTGTCTTGGCTCGCTCTCCACTTTGAGGTTTTGACTTGACTTTTGACGAACAAACCACTCAGTTAAAAGCGCCTGGCAAATAAGCAGGACTGATGGAGAGAATGATTGACGGAATGACTGATTGGCGTGAACTCTTTCACGCAGGTTTTCTGGGGGGATTAGCATCAAGAAAACTCACAGTAAATGTAACAACAGCAAGTCGGTAATCATGTCAGAGAGCGGCGTTTGTTTTGTCCTGGGACAAGGTAATACATGGGTCCCCTCCATTTGAAAGGGGCCGCGGCTGGGTTGAAGAGGGGCCCTCGTAGAAATTTAAAACCTTGTAAATCTGCTATTGTCTGAGCCACTCAAGGTGCCCAGGGCGACAAAAGAGTCTGATTTAGAGGCGGACGGCACCGCAGCAGAGATGGAGGGAAGAAGGAGAGGAAGAGGGGTTTTATTTCTCCCTATCAAGACAGAGGTTGACTCATAAAACAACTTGTTTCCTGGTGCTAAGCACAGCTTAAGCATGTGTGTATGTTGTTGTTTGTGTGCCTGTTCATAACAGATGACAGATGAGTGTGTGTGTTTAGTTACACTTGTAATGTATGCCTGTATATCTGTGCTATTTGTACATCGTGTTATGTGCTGCATGCTTCTGTGTGTGTTGGTGTGTGCTTGGAGAAGTGTAGTTGAAGAAGTCCACATAATTCAATTCTTCTTTGTTTCTACAGTAAATACCAACATATTTAATATTTGCACAGCCTCACAGTGTTGACTTGTTTGTGAAAACTTCCTGACAAATGTTCCACGTCTGTACTGTAATACCAATCTGTTGTGCTGTTGGCTCTCGCATTATAAAACAAAACAGAGGCGGCAATCAAGTCCTGTCAAGTCAATTTAACTCTCCTTTCTTCTCCTGGTTTGAATAAATCAAATACATAAGAAAAGAGCGGGCGTGTGCATTATGAGAGAAAAGAAAGACAATCACTTGTAAATTCACTGAAAACACAGGCGAGGTATCTTTGTAATGGCTTAAGTGATGGTATATTGGTGCACACTGAGTTAGGTAATAAACCATCCAAAGCCCAGCTGCAGGAGGATGAAGACTTTTAATGCTGTTCTTAGTGAACAGGAGACGATCCTCAGTGAGCAAAACAATTGGACTCCAAGAGACAGCAGCGACTCTCAAAGACTGAGGTGGCTTTGGTCTGTAATTCACAATCTTGTGCTGGCCAGCCCCTGTGTATGCCTATTATGGGTCTCTAACTACCTTTCACAGGAGGATAAATACACGGTGGTGCACACACACACACACACACACACACACACACACACACACACACACACACACAGGGCTGGGCAGTTCACCCACAAGTCAAGTTCAGCTCTAAACCAGCTGTTGGGTAGAGAGACCCTGCCAGCTATAACCACAAAAACATACAATCGAGAACAAAGCGGAGAAACTCCAAAAACAATGGGAACTCCCTCTCCGCGATGTCTATAAATAAGAGTGAAGGTGTGGTTGGGAACCTTTTAACTTCACAACAAGTTGATTTAAATCCTCTCTGAGGTCGATCACATATACAAAGCAGGGATTCCGAGAGAGTCTATACGTTACGTCTGAACAGAGAGCTCCATGTTGCTCTCAGGCTTCCTTATGTTTCATCATAACTTGAGAGTTTTTGATTTGCTGAGCTATTTGGTTGTGATGTGTTCTCTGGAGGTGATTCGACATGGCAGAGAAATCTATGATTTCTGTCTTTAGAAGTTCATCAGCAGCACTGATGCTCTGGTGGGAAATTCTGACAGCGGAGGCCTTCAGGTAAATTCCATGTGTTGTTCTTGTGAGAACACATCACACAGGAAGAACAATCAATCCACTGACTCCAAGTCAAGATGTCAAGAAGATTGTTATAGTTGTGTGTCTTATAGTTACACTATTAAAGGGACTTTCCATTAATTTTATCAGTCGTCTCCTGAGGCTCTGTAGGGCGCTTTGTCAAGTCTGGGAAAATACCCTGTGTGATGTCTTGATTAATCTCCTGTTACGCTTAGTCATCACATTTTTAGTCACATTTGTGGCTAGCTCAAAGCATGGCCATGTCACCTCTGGGTCTAAATACAAACTCAAAGGCCCTGTTCAGATCTGGTATTAACCCTTGAAGACCATATGTGACATATGCATGTATGTACTTTTAAGACCGGGTGCAAGGTCAGCATGCTTCTCCCTTTAGAGTCGGATGAGACATGTGAGTCTTCTCAATGATGTCATTGTCTCCAAGACAAGTAACTGATAAAAAATATTGTAATTCATGGGGAAATGCCTCATGGGAAATCTGATCAGACAGCTTTAAGTATGTCTCTTCAGACAAACGTCCTGTGACCACTTGTGATCAGATCTCTCCACCTCCAAAATGTGGTCTGAGAGATCAGATCTCAGGACGCATAGAGGACGCCTTCGGGAGCTTTCAGACCTGAACTTAGCATTGACTCTCACTCATGACGGATGTTGAGACCAGGTGTCAAAAAGCCAGTAGCATGGCCAAAGATTGTGGTGTTGCAAACAGTGTGTGGCATTTGAAATATGTTGGCGTTTCTAAAACATGTAGTGAATAATGATGAGATGTTATTGAGCTGCATCTAACAACAGATTCAAATGACAGCAAAGAAACACCCGAGCCAAATTCATGAAAAACACTTTACAGTGGACAAGGACTTTTTTTTTTTTTTAACAATACCACAACTAAACCTTGTTTTCCTCAACATCGTGATAAAGCAATATACCAGTGTGACATTTCTGATGCTCCGGCGTCACTTAAACTCACCTCAGATTTTCCACGGCTGAAGCAGGCTCCCTTGGTGAACTCGTCGCAGTGCCACTCAGCCTCCTACAGAGGGAGAGAAAGAGAGAGAGAGGAAAAGCAGTGTCAGGCTCCCAATAAACCATCAAGGAGAAGCACACATCATAAACATTTCGGCGCCATGTCACCACGAACCACTCTGAAAACCACTCTGGGAACCCAAACAAAACAATGCTTGGCTCTCAACTGTGGCAAAATTCCCACCTTTCTGAAGTCGATTTGATGTCTGGGGACTTTCTGTGAGATAGAGCGGCAATAAAAAAATGCCACAGAAGACATGAAAACACAGAAAACTAAATGATGATGAGCTTCATCATCAGTGTCTGCAATTATCCGTCAGTGTCGCCGGCTGCAGGAGTGTTTTATATATTTTTCGCACCTGTATCCAGTCAATGAAAGCTTTCAACTCAGCAATGAAACTTCACTCAGTGACATTGTGGGTTTTCATTTTTCAGACATGGTCAATTCTTCCTTTTACATGGACACACCTAACCAGTCAGAATGCGTGTTGTCGACAATGTGAAGCATCAGATGTAGTAGAAGAACAACCTTCTCCTCTATCCTGACATTTTATTTATCGATTTATTTGATATATTTTATTTTATATTTTAGCCAGTGCTCATAGTTATTTTTATCTTTAATGATATTATCAAGCTAATTAAAGCTAGCACCAAGCAATAGGCGACCCAACTCCCGTCAAAGATGCAAAAGGACCAGGACCATATTTTCTCAATTTTAAATAAACACATAAACATGAATTAAATATTTGTTAACATAAATTATCTTAACGGGGGGCTTTTCTTTTTTTAATTCTCTGCTCCTCTCTGATCACTCTCTGGTGAAACACACGTTATAAACACATGTTTCACTGCAAGTAACAAAATGAATGATCTTATCACAAGTGAACAACATAAGAATAAAGATAAATACCTGGAATGAATTATCTACTTATTACGCTTTGGTTTTTAAAGCAATTTGAACCAGATCATGCAAACAACAATCTCCTGGCACAACAACCAAATGAAATCACATTTCGCACTGCACGTAACGTAACGCAAAGACATCATCACTAGTCTACACTGTGATGAGGTGAAAGACAGAGGTCTTAGCTTTCCGGTTAGAAAATAAACTTCTAATTATTATAGCGCCACATTTAATGTGAAGAGTCAGCCTCTCTTCACATTAAGCACATTTTCTTTTTCGTGCCCTTTATTTGTGTCGCCATTGATGTGCACAAGCTTTTAGTCTTCCACTTGCACATGCACACTCACAGCACAGCACAAGTTGATAAGCCATGTTAAACACAGACACAGAATCCAATTAAGGTGCATATCAAGCAGAGGCCTCAAAAAGCGACGATGAAGTGAATGCCGAACTGAATGCCAGTTTGATTTATGTGTGAGGGAAAAGGAGGGTTCTGAAGACATAACAGGCAAATCCCTGGAGAAGGATGTCAATGTAATTTACATGTGAGCAAGAAACAGAGCTTTTAAATTTTTACAACAGGAGAGCGAGGAATGAGAGCGAGGAAGATACTAAACCCTTGTCTCGTCTCCTCCTCAGGTGAAGACACCACCGTGCTCCAGTTTCTACCGTTTAATTTCATCGTGACCTCTGGGGAGGAAGGGAGTTCCTATTTATGAAATGAATGTTGGCCTCTGGACAGCACTCAAGCTTTGACAGGCAGAAGTAGCTGCTATACTCCCACCAGCTCCAGTGTTACTGGCAATGACAAGTTTAACGCCAAGTCACAAAAAGTCTCCCGAAGTAAAACTATTCAACTTCTTAGAGATACGACTTTCTGGCAGTAATAACCGGGCTAGTGGCCAGAGCCTCAGGACTGCTCTCAGTGGGATTACAGTAAATATCGCTAACTGAGAGAGAGATTTTAGATTTCACCTTGGTATCAGGGCTGTTTTATGCCAGGACAAGAGGGGGAAGAATAACCAAACCCCCTCAGTACTAAGCAGAACTTCTTTCATTTCCTCTTCCAGAAGGCTCTGGGAGTTTCCTCTGGTTTTACGACAAGAACTTTGCCTTTTTCAGCTCAGTGGCATCTCTACTGGGAGGCATAGAAACTGTTGTATGTACACACTCACATAAATGCACACATAGGCAGCGGCGGGGGGGAGCTTAGAAAGAAGCAAGAGCTGAGGGTGTGTGGTGGTATTCAGAGAGGATAAGACATGGAGTATTAATGGAAGCTGGATTCTCTCCTTCTCTCTGTGTGTGTGTGTGTGTGTGTGTGTGTGTGTGTGTGCATGTTCACATTCCAGGCCAAAGCAGGCTATTCTGGGGCCATGCTCCCACCACAGACACAAACCACACACATCAGCACTAAGCAGCGCACACACACACTCCCAGCTGAGTTGAATGTAGGTGATGAAAAGTGCTCTCACTTATCGCATTGGGGGAGAAATCCTGTTAATGGCTAGAAACCTTCCTTGTGTAAAAAAATCAATCATAACACAATGCAAAATTACAACTTGAGATCGCATTAAAGTGACCAATGTGGTTGCTTTTGTCAGTGCGGCCCGGTTATGTCATTTGTTGTCATTCAACATAGTTAAAAACAGATTTTCAGAACTCTTTGTATTCTTGCTGCGTCTCGAGGATATTAACTTTATGGCCAGTGAGGAAGTTTACGCTCGTAAGCCTGTAAGTGGGGGGATGTGCCGGCATCATTGACCGCTACAGCCACACTCTGTGACTGTGCACTGTCTCAAATGGTCCAGATTAAAGAACAGAATCACAGCCATGAAAAGCCAAGCACCAAGTGTCGTTAAGACACATTAAAAGCTCATTAACATGCTATTGTTCGGCCATTGTGCTCCTCAGATAAATCTGCCAAGAACTGAAATTTAAAAAAAGATCTCGTTAAATAATCATTCTTCGCTTAATCAGCATTACAAAAGCCTTTTTCTGAGACTTGGAGAGGCAGTAAAGAAGAAGATAGAGAGTGGCATCACATTTAGTGAGCGAGGTGAGCTGGTGTGTATCTTAAATTTGGCCCTGCATAAAAAAAAATCATAGAATGGCACTGGACTTGTGAAACACCATATCTATAAAATCTGTTCAAGCTAAGCTAAAAGGTTTTGTAAGTTAACGAACCATAATAAATGCTGTGTATGACTGCCTATTATGGTTTTCATTTTATTTATAACAACAATTTAATGCCACCAGTTCAGGACCACCTGCTGTCTGTTTTCGGAGGGTTAGTGGATTGGGATTAGGGTCAGTTATGAAAACATTACATTCACCAAAGAAATGCTAAGATCTGGCAAATGAGCTATTTTTTCAACATATCTGTATATGTGTCGCTGGTTGAACTCTAAACTGTGATCGGAATGCCATCTTATTGATATTAAGTTGGCATTACCAGCAGAGAAACGTTTGATGTGCATTGTGTTCACCTTATTATGTTTGATTAGTTTGTCCAGTAAATATTATATTTTGTGCCCAAGAAAAATATAAAATCAGTTTAATAAAACTATGAATTTCTGTATGAGCCAGTTCCACATTGTTCAGAAGCCTATTCTCATGTTAGATCAGTCTATAAAAATCATTTTCCGTGACTGCCAGCTTTATGAAGTGCGCAGTAAAAATCGGTGCCTAATAAATGATTGAACAGATGAGAACATTTATTTGAGGATCCACTAGAGAGACGTGGGGAGGTGGGGTGGAGGTGAGGGCAGCCGGTATTCTGTGTCTGAAATAGGTGGTCGGATGATTAGGCATATGAAGAAGCCAAATATTTATCCAGATGTTTTAACAGTAAAAATGAGAGTTTTCAGAATGACATTAATAATTAGGGTGGATAAAACTACGGCTGGTACAGAAGGTCAAGGTAGAATCAGTGTCCAACTGATCGTCTATTTTTTTGCGTTACGTTAGACTACATTTGAGTGACGGAAGATGAAGCATCATTGAGGTGCAGAAATTCAAAAAGAGGCAAAGGGAATTCAGTCGATAACAGACATTTGTTTCTTCAGGGACGCTGAAAAAAAGAAAAAAATGCTGAGATTTGTCTCTCTCTCTCTCTCTGCCCTGTAAAGGGCGCAATCCAAAGAGATGATCCATTGTGCTCAAGCCTCTCGTCAAACCCTCACACTGAGGGACTATTGTCACCAGCAGGTGGGTGTAGGAGCGATACCAAGGGAGCCGGTGGAAAGACAGAAGGCATAAAGACAGAAAATGGGAAAATTTGAGACAAACAGGCAGAAAGAACAACAAAGAGAAAACAGAGTCCAACTTAGGAGTCAGCCACAGCGAGGGAGACAGTGTGGGCAGAGTCAGTGAGACAGAGGGTGGAGTGAGGAGCTGAATTCCAAAACAGCGCTGTTTCCAGACATGATATTGAATACATTAATATATTTTGCATAAAGAGGGTCCAGAGAACACACCCGCTGCTGACAGCTGTCGAGCTTTGTGAAATGACTGGCTGCGTGTCTCATTACAAGAGGACGGTGGGTTGAGAGTGAGAGCCGACAAATCCAGCCGGGAAAATCTAATCTGTTTTATGAATAGTTGATATTAGCTCTTGATGTACTGGTGCAATATTTACTATTTAGGCTGATTACTACTGATGTAAGTTGTCAAAAGATTTACGCTTAAAATTTGTCTTGGCGTCGTGTTGGAGTACGAGTGTGGGGTTTGAGTCACCGCACATCATCGTAACCCCATAAAATGATCAGTCAGCGTTGATGTGACCCCCTGCTATGTTTCTTATTGCTTAAAAATCACCACCCACTTACTTAAATAGGCCGTCAAACTCCATGATATCACAGAGCGAGCTGTTATCTATATCTACAACCCCATTGATGCTTTTTATTCCATGCATTTAAATGTCCAAGTTAGTGGATTCCAGTGATTGAATTAGCGATGCTGCCAGAGCTATGGAGGATAGCTTCTGTTAGGTACTGATTAGCAGGGCTAATTGTCTGTCTGATGAGGTGTAATTGCAAGAGACAGGGTCGTGAAATACAACAGGTGACAGAGCAGAGGGCCTTTTGTTTTCTTTGGAGTCCCCTGTCCTTCTTTACGACATGACAATATGAGGAGAGGCAAAGAAAGAACAAAACGGAGGCACAATATACATCTCAACACCGTGTCTGCTGCCAAGGGGAGCTGTTATGGATAGTGTTTTCATGTGCCAGTGCAGGAAGAGAGATAGAGAGAGAGAGGGGCTGGAGTGAATATCCACTATTTTCTCCTCTGGTGCTGTATTGAATGGTGAACAATGCCACTGATCCTTCTCATCCCAGTGCTTATAGACTAGCGTCAGGCCACTCTGTTTCTGTTCGAGCTCGGCCTCATCGTCTGCTTCTTGTTTCGATTAAGTGCTGAAGCAGGCTAACATTGGATTCCTAAAGGAATGTTTTTTTTTCATCTTTCTTTGCTTAACTTGTACCTGCAAATTAAACACTTTCAGGACCAGCATTAAAAGTGCAGTCTCTTATTAGACCAGGTGAGAAAAGGATAAAGATGGAGCTACAGGAAAAGGACAGAGGGGGATCTTTGTATTCAGCATCATGAAAGGACATTATCCGAGAGGCACACTGGCTGACGGAAACGCTGAGAGGTACATCAGCAGGCGTGGCCATTCATCAGCCCTGGCTACACAATGGGAAATTGAATACAATGCAAATGCAGAAGGTCCCAATTCATCAGTGTTTGTCCCCCTGTTTGCAGCTGACCATGGAGGGTGCATAATGGCTATGCCAGCGTCGAGTCACCTGCCCAAGGTTGGCAACAGCTGAGGGCAGGGAGCTGAATGAGGAACGGAGGGGGCAGAAGGACAATACTGAACAGATGGGGGGTATAAAGTGGGATTCACCTGTATATGGGGGATGGATATTTTCCTCTGTGGCTGCTTATTGCTGATCTTTTGGCTGTGGTACCTCTAAATGTCTCATTAGCTGTACATGCAGCAGTCTTAAGCCCCTGTCTCCTTTTATTGGAGCTGCACACATTTGAAAGTGGAGCAAGGAGAACAGTTACCACCTTTCGCTCTCAACAGTGTCCAGATCAGAGAGGACAAGGGTAAAAGGTGGACAGGTAGAGGAGGGCCTCTTCAGGCTGCAGAAATAAAACTTTAAGTACCAGATATTAACTCCAATCAAGGCTATTGGATGAATGAGTCATGTTTCAAGGTCTGACTCTCCCCACTTCAACCCAAAATTACCATTCAGCTTGAGTACGTGCAAACAAGTTCATGTAATATGGAGGATTTTCTGCTAATACTCTAAGAGTGCAGTACAGCATTGTCATGCACTTCGATGAGTCCCAGCCGCTGCAGCCTGTTTATTCAAAGTGTATTAATATTACCCATATTGTTTGTCCAAATCGACACAGCACTGTTGCCTCACATGGTTCCCAGATTAAATCCTGGTTTGACTGGGGCTAAATAGGAGAATCTCAACTGTCCATAGGTGAGCGTTTGTTTCAACATGTCAGCCTTGTGAAACGCTGGTGATCTGTCCAGGATGTATCTCGCTTCTTGCCCAATTCTGCTAAGATAGGCTCCAGCTCCTCCCACCATTCCCTCTAAAGGATAACCAGTGAGATATGTGTTCCACATAAAGGCAGACAGACAGACGGAGGGAGTTTTCTGTAATTATTAGATAGATGATCCCTAACGTGTCACCATGTCGTATAAACCATTCCTCATACAAACCTTTGTATTTCTCAGAAGTGACAGAACATCAACTCTTTTAACAAAGGTCCCCTCTCTCCAAGTCCTGATGTTCTTTGGTTCTTCTATTCTTTTTATTATTAACTCCAAGCAAGGAGGGCATTTACTGAGGAGATTATGGCTGCCGGGGCTCATACCGAATCGACTCAATGTGTGCAATAGACTGGGTTAGAACAGCGGTGTTTAGCTACCACCTTAAGTGTCACTACTCTCTGAACTCTCCACAATACAACATCAAGTCTACCAGGTATTCAGAATCTACTGCCTCGCAGAATGCTTGAAAATAACTCTGCAGCCAAGTGCAGGATGAGTGGGTGGGATTCACTCTACTTTTACGCAGCAGAAGATCACACCCCTGCTTTTTTTAAACAAATGTTTCATGCATGTACATTCAAGATGAGGTCAGCCCATCATCAATCATATGGTAATTACATCCACCTCTTTACTGTATTATAGGCTGTTTGTATTCCTCTGCCTCGAAGCCTTGTGCTCCGTCAAACCATACACAGCCTCCCTCTTAGCGCTGCCAGCCATGCACGAACAAATCACTGCCATCGAGCATTATCTGACAGGGCTGATGCATGGGGAAGGGGTGAAATCACAAAGACAAACGTGGGTGTAGCTTTTTAGCTTTTTCTTTTCTCCCCCTTCTGCAGGAAAAGAAAAATAAGAACCTCATGCAACTCTTTTGAACATCTGTGCAACCAAAATAAAACGCACTGGACAACTAAGACAGTTTGAGCTCAAACTTTCTTTGTTTGCTCTGGCACTCACTGCAAGTCTTTCATGTCCAACAACAATAACACTGACAAATATGTGTAAACCCAGCCACAGAGGGAAGCGGATCTCCATGCAATTAAATCTCCCCCATTCCATGGCAGTGTGAAAAAAAAGCAAGGAAAGAAAGAGACGCCAGAGGGGGTTGAATAGAAAAATAGCTCCTCACACTTCAGCAGTTGAACTTCGCCTTCCACTTGACTCTATAGCTTGGTCCCAGTCAAATGCAAAGCAGGGACTAGTGCACAGGTCATCTGAGATTGGCCCTGGGCCTTGGCAAGGGATTAACAGGTCCTATTCTCTCAAGAGAAGACATCTTGGAGAGGTTGATTGGGTTGTTGGAATCTCCTCACTGATTATGCAGCGCCAGCCGAGCGCAGGATGAAGTAAAGGAAAGAGGGATGATTGGGTGCGTGGATGGCAAAGAGCATCTTTAAAAAGCATGTGTGTGCAGTGAGCGGCCACAAAAGACGGGCTCGGCATGTATCCTCATCTCTCTCAGTGGGAGGGGGTTTCTCCGCTTTCTTCCCTCAGTCTGTGTGCTGCCGCCCCCCGCTCCCTTCTTTCCAACAAACGCAGCCTTGCCGCTTATTACGTCTGACCGTTTTTCTCATTTATGCTTTCCAGGCGGATTTATATCAACACTGATTCCCTTTATTCGCCCCGTTTGTTCCATCTATTCATCCTCACTCCCTGAGTTTCTCTTTCTCTCCCTCCTCAACCTCTCCCCTGGATTTTCAGGGTGTAAATGGCCAACACCGAGAGTTTCCTAACCATCGAAGAAGCCTAGCTGCTACCACCAAGAAGTGAAGCCTCTAGTGTGTCTGTGTTTTACGGTAACTCAGAGGGTAGCAAAATGCTCAGCTCTTTGGGGGGATGCGGGTAAAAAAGAAGAAATATGAGAAGCTGCAGGAAAAAACTAGAATGATGGGAGAGGGAGATGAAAGACAGACTGAAAGTAGAATAATTGCCACCTTGAGTTTGCTGGTATTTTTGTGTAAATTTTAAAACATGTCACCACAGGCAGAAGTAAATACCCTGAAGTTAGCACACTTAAATTTCTATTAAGCATTTCAAAACATTTTATTCCCTCTGTGCACATTTTTTCGACCTTTCTACCTTGAGAAGAGCAGGAGAATATATCAAAAATAAAGAACATACACAAGGTGTTAATACCCTGTGGAAAAGTAAAAACGGAGTGTAGCTGCAGGGTATTTTATATAGTCTCAAACTGGATTTAAACATGGAGGGTATTAACACTGACTCGACTTCACATCAACACTTTCTCCGCACATCAACCCACGTTGCAGTCGACCAAACCCGCCGTCACTCCACTGGATGAGAAGCTGTTGTGACATGTGAAATGCTAAACCATTTTACTGTAACAGCTTTAGGTTGTGGGAGCTGGCAGCACCGCGCTGCAACTATATAGTGCCGTGTTTACCGGAGACAGGCAGCGGTGTGGACGCCTGTGCCACTGTGTGACTGTAAGAGTCGTCTCTGAGCAGACAGAGCGAGTACATGTTCACCCAGAAAAAGTGTGTGAGTCAGACTGATGGAGAATCAGATAGACAGGCGGAAGAAACACTCACCTGGATCAGTGTCAGGTCTTCCAGATTGAGCCTGAACAGGTGATTTCTGTGAAAAGAAGGAAACATGTCAGCTGACGGAGACATTTTCTGCAAATAAAGAAATAAAGAAAAGTGAGGATGTTAAAGCATACTCAGTCAACAGCTGAAGCTCAGTACGGTATTTATCTGTGTTCTCTTTAAAGCCATTTTATCTTCACCGTCCCTGTAGCAATAGAGCCAACAGTACAAATGGACCTCAACCTCAAAAAAATGAAGCATAAAGGATCTTATCAGATGTGAAAGTGGTGCCTAACATGGAACAAATGTCTTTTCTGCTGTCATTTTTCCATCCAGCGCCCATGTTTAACTATTACATGCATTTGGCCACACTTTAATGACTTGATCTTAAAGTCCCCCTCCAGTGAAGATCAGGTTGATATTTTACACGTGAGCCTTTTACATGATAAAACAAATTTTGAGCAAAACAAGCAGTCAACACCATGATTGAGTATGACCACCTGACACTGCAGTAAACAAATGCCAGTCTGAAAAGAAATGGCCTTGGTTTGTGATGTCACAAATCTAGGAAACCAATCCTGTCAACTTGCGGGAGCTCAGTAGCTAGAAAGGCCCCATAACAGTAGGTGAGATGTGACGGTGGCGAGACGTGGCGCAAGGGAGCCTGGGCCATACTAGCATATTCATAGAAGGTGTAAATTTACATATTAGCCATTTTAAAACCATGAGGAGAATTTTTTTCATGTCAAACCTTTTTAATTTTTTGAGGAAGAACTAGGAGGAGTTTTAGGGGGTTTAATAAGCTAAGCCACAGGAGAGAGGCTTAAAAAATGGATGTGGTTTGATGTCATGTTGGCACATTGCTTTCTTGAGGCAGTAGAAAGCACTTGAACTTTTGGCCAGAAAGGGTTTTTCATCTTTCTTGATAAAAGATAAAAGCATCTACATTATCCACAATGGAACTCAACCACCACCAGTTCATTTAGGGATTTAAAGGTGGTGTGATGGTAACGGTTAATGTAGCATAGAGCTACTATTGCTTCAAGCAGGCGACAGAGATCTCGTAGCCTTTACTCCACAACCCCAGAGTTCTTTGATTTTCAAACTTGTCTTCAGCTGCAGCGAACGTTGACAAGTAAAGTCAACACTAAAACTTTGTGCAGCACAATCTGGAGCCATACAATTCTTTATACAACCTTTTTCTGCATGTGCAATAGTAATCTTTTTGAAAATAGTTGTATCTTTCCAATTTAAATCTGAAGTTTTCCCACTAAGCAGTAAAAATGTACATTTTTCGTTGATGACATGAGAAGTCGAAAGAGTTAAGTCAGTTTTTTCACAGTGACCAAAGTCAGTGAACAGCTGGATTCAGCCACCATAGCAAATGACTGACCTCTGTGTTTCTCCAAACCATAATTAGAAGGCGAAACAGACATGATAAAGCAGCGCTGAGTTTTTATCCTCACATCTCCTGGTTTTCTGTGTATGAGGAACAGTGAGAGTGAGGCAGGCTGAGAAAAATATTAAATCCTGGTGGTGAAACCTCTCTCTAATAAGTGCCTTGCCTGAAGCTTTTCAAATTTGCAAGGCACAAACAAAACACTTCCATATTTATTTTCAACTTTTCAAGAAATGTGTCTAATGAATGCCCTCTCAAGAGCAATATTCTGTAGCTTAATGACTGAGGATGTCTAGTAAAACCATTGTGGACCACAAAGGGAGAACACATGAAATCCGATGAAACCTGACAATTAGGACTAAAGGTGTAATTTATTCGTAATGTTACCTTTGAGATTTCTGTATCATCCATTTTTTGTAGTTTTTGTTCTATGGGTGGGTGCCAGTGTAAGAATTTTGGTTGGTGCCAACAGTCTCTTTGAAACAATAATTCAAGTTTGGGGCAATTTCACAAATGAAATACTTTTTAGAGATTTAGCTGATCTATGTTTAAAAATCTAGTAATAGCTTTCAAAAAATAATCCATAATGTACAATCTGAATGTGAACCACTGTTTTTTTCATCAAGCAGATATCTCATTTTGGAATTAAACTCTTTATCACACACACACACACACACACATACGCACAAACACATGCATCCAAACACTGCCGAGATCCATAAATCTCCTGAAGAGTGGCTATCAGCCAGGTCTCAGCGCAGCCCTGTTTTACTGTATTGATATTTGCATTGATCCCTCTTTCCTTCCATTATCACTCATACTTCGAACTCAGGCTGCAGCCATTCATCGAGCCACATCATCTTTCACAGTCGGACTCAGGAGACGCTGTGCTGGCACACAGAATTGAACTTAATCTCTTGTTTGATCTTTTGAGTGTTGCAGATACCAGGTGTTGATAGGATTGACTGAGCTGTAGCTAAAAATAACACATGGACACAAAAACATTGTGTATTATATTATATTATATTAAATTATATAATCTAATCTAATATTATATTATATTATAGATTAGGCCATTAACTCCACAGGGGAATTTACTCACCTTTTCAACCTTTACTTTAATCTGTTCACACAAACACACATGCATTTTCTCTGATTAGTCTTTACCATCTACAGTAAGTACCTGCAGTACATTAGTAAATTCCCTGGGCTCCCTTTGTTTCTGTTTATTTTGCTGCTCTCTTTCCTGTTGTTATCTCCTGCGCACGTTGGAGTGAGTTTCTCTCTAGTGACAACTAAAGCCATTAAGAGAAGTGCACAACACACTTCATCTGGAATCACCCAGCGTGAATGCATATACTCCAGTTCCTCTCACACACAAACACACACTTGGCTGGGCTTGAAAAAGAAAATGTACATGGAAACAATCTCCGAAGCCATTGTTGTCTGACTTTTGACATCTATAGAGAAACTGATCATTGCTCATGCAATGCACCAGCAAACATTGGGGGAAAAAAGGACAAGAAATGACAAGAAAACAAAAGAAGGAGACAGGAGGGACGAACAAAGTTGATTTCACACATGCACAGCAACTCTGAACTTATCTAAACATTACCCCGGGGGGTGTATGTGTGAATGCAAATGTATTTATCAATTGGACCAGACGTTTAACAGATTCTACCTTGCAAGCGTGTTTAATGTCCAAATGAGTCCATGTGTGAACAGAACAAATGATTATCCAGAAGATTTCCACCAAGCGTGTTGATGACATTTCAATAGCCGACTGGCCGTGAAACTAAGAATAGGAACATCTGACAGTGAAGAGGATGGAATATTTACATAAAAATGGAGACAAAAATGTCAAACCGAGAGGTGATGAGATTCGAAAGCTTCTGTCGGCCAAAGTTGTCAGACACATTTAAGGTTTGACATAAACAAAACATTGTGACTTCAGCAGAGCAGTTTTTCCGTCATATCCTGTCTCCTGCATGCTCTACTTGTGCACCCCCCCCCCAGCCCAAACGAACAGACCTGTTTTGCAGTAGGTGAGAATCTGACACAGACAACTCCTGTTGTGTGCTACATGTGTGAAAGTCAACTCCAGACAACGTCCAGCTTGAGAGAAAAGAAACCTGTTACCTGGCACCGACGATCAGTTCGTTCTGGCCGGGGTCAAAGGTCAGCTGCGAGTAATCCACTGTGCCCTCTGCCTTGAACCTGAAGATCCACGGCTCCATCTCTGCCAATGACAGGACAGGGGAAAAAATAACAGTGAGCCAATCAGAGCGGATTATGTTTACGACTGCAGAAGACAGCTGTGGTGATGAACGATCTGCTGTGACTTTACACATGACACTGGAAGAGAGTAGGGATTTCAAACAACAACTCACTCCACTACTGCTGTTGGCTGATATTCACTTATTCAACTACAGGTGCATTAGATTAAAGCTTTATTTACAAGTGGTGTATATTCACTCAGACTAGCTCAAATACGTGTGTGGCATAAAATGCTAAACTAATGAGGCAAGAAGCAGTCACGTCGACTTGCAGACTGAATGAGATTTTGCTCTATAGTTACAGGTCATTAGTGCTAAACGCTGCTGACGTGTGCGACTGGCTGTTGCCACACCACACAGCGACCTGCAGCAACACTCTGCAGAGGTGGAGGCTACTTAAAAGTAATTAGCTGCGTGGGGCGGCTGTGTACCTGCCGTCTACAGTGAGTTATCACAGCTTGACATTATTTCAGATCAGTAAAGCTTCAGTTCAGCCTCCTTCAGACTAAACAAATCCCACTTCAGACACATCCTGCTCAATAATGTGAGAGGGAACGCTGGGGCCAACAATGGTGGAATGTAACTCAGTTCATTTACTCAAGTGGTGAAGTTTAATTTTAGAATAATTGCATTTCTATTTTATACTACTTAATAATTCTCATCTATATTTCAGAGGGGAAATTGGACTGCATTTTTAATAGCTGTGGTGCATTGCAGATTAAGATTTACATATTTAAAATATTATAAATGCCTAAAACATTTTAGAATGTGATGCATAGTTAAAGTTTAAACTACCTAACAGAATGTAAAGCACTTCAAATGGACTCCACGACAAATGGCTAAAACATTAAACTGCTGTATATGAATGCATCAGTAACAGTTATCTATTAATATGATAATAACATCGCACTCACAGGGGGCATTTCTCTGCATCATGGCTACAGAAACTTATGTTCTAAAATCATTTTTGAAGTAAAAAGTACATTTTGTACAGACCACGTTAATTTCACATGTGAAAATGGGTGAAAATGTGTAAAGCCTGTAGGTTTTTGTGTCTAACAAAAGGGATTACATGTGATCACATGTGTCCAGATGTTTCCTACATGTGGACTCCACCATCATGTGACATGAAATCTAGTTTCAATTATTGAATTTGGACTTTATAAGTAAACTTGAACTGATTTCTTGTCTCAAAGGTAAAGAAATAAACGAACAAAAACTAGCGTAAATTCCTTCTGCCATAAGCCATGAATCTAGAAATTATATTTCAGATGCACATTTGTCATTGTTCTATAATCACACTCACAATGCATTCACAAAATTGCTCAGGTCAAACTCAACATTCTTACCAGCGCTCCTGGAGGAAATGAAGAGGAGAATTAATAAAGAATAAAAAAAGGTTAAGAGCTGTCCTTGCTTGATAAGGTCACTCGTTCAAAAAATCATTTTACATGGATCAGAGTGCTCAGACATTAGTGCTCCTCTGGCTACATGTCTTAAAACCACAAGAGCACAGCCGAGACGTAAGAGGAAGTTTAACAAAAGAGTGAAATTTAGATTTCTTGTGTTATGACTCATCTGTGAAACATACTGTATACCCTGTTTGAACCATGGAGAGTGATGAGATTCTGACTTTTTATGGAAACTGACCACATCTCCTGCATTTTGGTGAACACACACCTACGCACATAAAGAGCGAGAGAGAGAGAGAAAGCAAGAGATATCCCAGACAGTCACTGACATCTTATCCACAACCTGCTTGTTCTCATGGCGCCCGACCCATTAACCCCTGACCAATCGCATCGCAGGCCGGGGTGGTTGCTGAGCGATGAGGACGGCCTGTCTACCATCTGGTTATCCGATAGTTAGTTGCGGGTGGTCAATCAGTCATTTCGGTGACGTGTGCTCTCCATCGCTCGTCACATGCCTGATCCATGGTCTTAATAACTTTTCTCGGCAGTGCTGTACACACAGGTCGGATTTCACTTGAAGAAAACGTCTCCATATTTGGGACATATTCTGCAGCGAGCGATACATATGGAATTTTTTCAAGCTCTCCAGCAAGTCTGAGCTTTTAACGACGGTTGCTACAGTGTTTTAAAATCATTCATCACTACATCTGTTAGATAATTCCAGACAAAAAATTTCAAAGGGACTTTTTCAAATTACCGGGAAGCCTTCCAACAGGGCCGATCAGAGAGAGAGAGGACAGCTTGAATACACTCCTCAAAACACATTATCTACTTCTTCGCACACCTGTCAGGCGGCATTTCAAATGAAAGCATGTTCTCCCTTGACTGCATCAAAAGCGAGTGCTCTGGGTTTCTGTGACAAACGTGGGATTTCGGAGCTTTTCCAAAGAAAAAAAACAAGACAGACAAACAGACCGAGAAAACGGGAGCTTCCAAAAAACTTCCTCCAGCTCACGTAGAGGGACCAAACTCTGTCTCTCCTTACAAAAAACATCATCTGCTGTGAGACAGTTGTTTGCTTTCAAGTTTCCAGTGATGAGTACAAGAGAACGACAAGAGGAAAAAGTGTCCCGCGTCTGGTTTTGCACCACTAATGCATTTTCATTAGAACCAGGCAAATAAATATCTGAGAGATCAGGACAGACTTCACCCCAAAGATTTCATTTAAAAAAAAATTTGAATGTGCGAATCCTTCGGCACCACTGGGGTTGTTTTTTTATGCCATCTAGAGGATCCCTGGCATACTAATGGAGCTGTGGCACCCTTCTGGGAGAAGACGACACTTGACAAACTTCTCCCCATAAATCTCCCTGACTCACCGGGGGAGGCATGCTAACACAGTAATGGAGTGTATGTGTGTGCGAGAGAGGAAGAGAGAATATTTGTTGGAGTGTGCAAAAGGGGGCAAAAGGTTTTAATTGAACAGCACTCAAAGGATTGATGGCCCTTTGTGACGAGGCCAAGGACTATTCATAAACATTCATATCCGGCATGCATGTGCCCTCCCAAGGCTCTGCAGTGAAATATATGGAGCTTCCAAAAGTCAAACTCGCGGGGTATAAGCAGATCATAGTTTGATGATGTAAAACTGTGACACACTTGAGAAGACTTTCAAAAACAACGCTGCAGGCTGCAGGCTTAGCTCCGCCACAGACGCTAATCACAGTGATTTGATCTCTGATCTATTTATTTGTCTTTAGATGGGTGGTAATAATTTCAGGGGGCACCCAGCGGGGGTTTATGATCCTGTATAGAGCCAACAAATCACCCTTATTGTTAACCTCGAAAAAAAGGAAACCCTCAGTAGGGCAACCCTCAGCTAATAAATATCCTCTAAAACCCCCCCAGTCCTATTCATTATCCCACTTCCTCGAGTTCAGTTCTGCTCTTACATGGCTTCATGTCAGCTGCACTTTAAAAGCATGTGATAATGTAATCACATCACCACCAGTCATGCTTTTACAGGAGACGGCTGCCGATTATATGAAGGCGTAATAACACACACACACACGCACTCACACACACATAAAAATGCACATCCCTCGCCCCCTTCTTCTGCTCGGTCCCCATCTTATCCTCTTAACCCCTGTCTCCCTCCTCCTCAAAATAGAACAGCCTATCACTCACATCCTATTTGTTATTCCCCTCTCTGACACGGGGAAGTTGACACAAAGACAAAATGACAGGAATATACTGTATAAATATTTACATCCAGCATCAGAGGCCACACCAGCCTTCAGTCTGCCAGTGCTCACAGTAACAGCTCTATAGTGCTGCCAGGCCAACAGCAACGGCCACATGTGGAACCACTTCTGGAACATGAATGTTTTTTTTTCCTGTGAGTGGTCTAAGTAGAGGGTGGCAGTAGGCACTTAAATGAATAAAGAGTTACTTCACGCTAAATGCTGCCCCGTGGAAATAGGCACCAGAAGAATGCCAACTAATTGGTCAAGTTGGTGAGAGAAAAAAATGTGCACGGAGTGGTCGAAAAACAAACACCTGCTGAGTTTGAGAAAAACTAAAGAGCATGGCAAGGTCAGTGAGCACCTTCACACGTGGCTCTGTGCTCGGCGGTTTCCCCCCATTATGTTATTTGCAGAAAAAACGAGGAGCGCATTTCGCTGCTGAAAGTCCTAAAAGTCAAATTAGCGTGGCTGTGCTGTGGCCTGAGGGCAACAAGTGATTCATGCAAAACAAAACCACTGTGAAGCCGCAAATAAGTGCAGAATAAAATATTTAATCTAAATTGTATTTGGGCTCTTTTGCCTGGAGGGGTGTATACAAATCCAAAAATATGAGCAGACCCATGCCAGCTTTTGAAGTAAAACATGGCTCCAACATGGTTGACCTTGAACGTGAGTAGAGCAAAGTTTGGGAATTTCAACTTTAAAGACCTAAAAGTGTTTTAAATCCAAAGTAATCATACCCATGTGACCAATTGGAGGATCTGTGATGCTGGTTTGTAGCTTGTTGCTGTGAGGCCATTTGTTTATTTTCCTGCTTTAGCTCCCCTCTCTCTAACGATGTGCTGGCCGTTTAGGGACGATAAAAGCCGAGTTCGGCTTGTGGTTGTAAAACATGTCCAGCGGTTCTGCTCCTCAGAGACATGGTCCTCAGCTTGGCCTGTGAAGCCATTGTTTACACTTCAGTTTATAACCTTTAAAAGCCTTCAGGCCTTCACATAGGAATACTATAATACAAAGCTTTATCAATACAGAATATTTCTGCTTTAAGCAACAATAACAGTGCAAAAGCTTGATTATAAGACTTGCTATAACATATCTTCAAGAAATGGGGATTCAATCTCTCAACACTTCTCCTAAAATAATCATTTGACTGAAACATTTACATTGGAGCTCTGCTGTGGCTATTTTCAGACCTGTTTTTTGTGAGAGCGTAGTGCGTGTACCTTTTGGGTAAACATTTGGAGCGCTGCTGCTGAACTTTCTTTCTGAAACCCAACATTTCTGAAACCACCATAGAAAGCAGAAAACAGTCTTTGGACTATAGCATCCTTGCACCACAGTAGCAGTTCTGTCAGCCAAGTGTTGTGCCAAGTCAGAAAACCACCATCCCTTGTGGGGTCAGACCGTTGCGAGGCACGCCCTTCCACACTCAGGCCACAATCACATAGAGAGAAATGAACACTGAGGCTGGAACACTGTCGGTAAACCCTTGACCTTGGCTTCTCACGACGAGTCATAACCACTGTTTGGGCTCTGCATTGTTTAACTCTATTTTTACCAGGCCAGCTGAGGCTGTGAGCAGTTCCAGTGAGTCTAAGAATCACATTGGAGTAGGTTCAGATTTAAGAGCTACTAATTAAAGGTGAAGCAGAATATCACTCTTTTACTTCCAAATACCCTACTGTCACAGCCAACCTTGTATTTGAATATAGGCGTGTCTAGACGGAGCAAGGGGAGCTGGTGGAGCTGGTTCTCTCTACTTATAGTCTTAATGATAAGCTGAGCAGCTGCTGTTTCACCTGCAGTTTTCAGACATGAACTCCAGAAAATGGGGTCCTGACATATTCGGTTGTTTGTCTTTCACATATAAAGAATTCAGCAGGAGATCGTTTTGGTCAGATGATCTCACAACAAAAGGAAAATACAGTATATAGTGAATATAGTGATGCTGAGGCAAGGTGGTGCCAGAGTAAGGCATGCAGGAGGCAGGACATGATGTATAATTTCAGCTGCAGCCATCACATGTTTTTGTTTACACACCAGCATTGGATCATATCGCCAAAAGCTCTCGAATGTCGTCTTCCCAAGAGGACCAACCAAATCGTCATCTGTGTCTTCTACATGGAGGGCGCCTCTTTTTCATCCTGAGATATCTGTATTCTCTTTCAGTTTTGTATTTGTCCTTTTCCTGCTGCACTCTCAAGTCAAGCTCACTCAGATTATTTGGACAATTTCTGGACATTTCACCATGGGGCTGGCAGGAGGTGTTTTGGAAAATGTCAAAAAAAACCCGACACAGACATTTGGGTTCTCATATATACAGCGCCTACAGCAAATTGTCTGAAAGCAGCCGTAATGAACAGACACCCTTCTAACATAGTCTCTGATAACAAAATGCGAAACTACACCATCAAACAACTGTACAGTTGAACACTGGCAGTACGACTGAAACCACAGCTCTAAAATGTATGTCTGTGTGTGTCCAAGGTTTACCCTGAGTGGAGCGGGAGTGTTGTGTTGTTATGATCCACAAGGGAACGTCTAATGTTTGTAGTTCTCCCAGCTTGGCTGAAGATGACACATTCACAATCTCTACGACCAGGGATTACACTACATTACATGGTGCACAATGACTCACAAAGGAGAATGAAAATAGGTCTAACTAGAGGTTTCTCTTCCCTTGCACACGATCTGCGTGAACGTGTATGTGACTGTATGTTCCATCATGACTAACACTTCTTGGGCGTTTATTGAAAAAAAAACAAAGGCCTATAATTTGGCAGTCTTTAAAAGCTATGTATACTGTACAACTTGGAACTATGAGATGCATTTGAAGTGCACAAAGACTATCATCAGGCCATGAAAGAGGAGTTATCTGAAAAAACGGTGTGAAAAGCTCTTTGTGAGACCATGGGATTTAGCAGCTGCTCTGCAAAGGTGCTGATTCTGGCAGATTAGGGGAACTAAGTAAACAAAGTGCGATGATAAAACTTGTGTTGTGAGGAAACTTCCTGTCCCCACATGACAGTAGGAAAACATCTAGTCATGCAAAGTCTGCAGTGCTTTGGAGTGTTTACGACCACGGCAACAAAACTGATGTGCACGTAGTTAACAAGCTCGTAAGAAACTTTGGATGAACTCTCAGGGATCAACAACCTTAACAAGCCTATGAAATCTACATGCATACCTGTTTCTGGATCAGTGCAGTTTAATTTTATGAAAAATAATTCCACCTTTTTATAGTTTGCGTAGACTCCATCTGGTTTTACACGTAACCTAACACTCCCAAAAGAGCAGGAAAGTGAAGTCAAACACTGAAACACTGACTGGATGTAATTCACTGTGAGTTGAACTGTGAAATTTCATCCAAGTGCCAGCCACCATGAGTCAAGACTCAAAAGCTGCATGTCAGTGTGATCTGGGGATGTCGAGAACAGATCAACTTCCCCTGACGTGATGGAAGAGAACCAAGAGACGAATTATCACACTTCTTTTGATTCCTGTGGGAAAGGGACAGAGTGATACACAAAGCTGATAACATGCTGATCAACAGCTTCCCATTTCTAACATTAGCAAGCAGCTAAAACTATATTAAGAAACATGACGGACAGAAACACATTTCTCTGAAAGTTTGAAAAAGGAAGGATGACAGGTGAGACATAAGGTAAAATATAATGCGAGGGGAATAATTCTCGTTTTCAAAAACAGTCACTCAACTTTGTCAAATCATATCAATGCTGCTACACTTGATGGGGGTATTATTATCTCAGATGTTGAATTAAAGTTTTTAAATCTGTTTAGGATTTACACAAGATATTTACAGAAAATGAAAATGTTTACAAGTTTTCCACAGTATAAATAATCCAGCTATGGCACACAAAAGGAACTGCTTCGAGTTTATATGCAGAGTCAGACTTTGAGAGACGATACTCCAGGAAATGAACTACTTTGTCATGTGTTGGTATAGCAGCGATAGGAGATGTAAATTACAATGTAAATGATCAGCTCAATCCTGAACGTGCCCTGAAGCTTCAGGCTTCTGGAGGAGAACCTTAATGAAGACTTTCCCAATGTGGTACTTAATAATGTACTTAGCACACTGCTACTACAATATGTCTCCATTGAAGCTGCAGAGCCTCTAATCCAGCTCGCCGCAGGAAGAAACCATTGTATCATTGCGGCTGATCACTCAGACCTAAAGACACTGATCCGCAGCCAGCGAGTTCCTCTCTCTTTCTTTCCTCTGTGCAGCTGCCTTTGTGTTAGTGAACCATGCCTGATTGCTTACCGAAATGTCGACCCCCTTTATCAATGCTCCCATATTTCAACTAAAGCATTAAGCCACCGGAGCTTAATGGGCCATTGTGGTACATTAGAGAACACAAACGCATTGACCACAGCTGACCCGCTGGCTGGTGTGTGTTCCTCCACACACAGAAAGCACAGGGCGAGAACGTATTGCGTTAGCTGGGCAGTTAGTCATCATCATTGCACTCAATTGGCACAGAGGGAAGAGTGCCACCTCAGCTAAGAATGAAGTGACAAAGACTGGGAAGAAAGACGAAGTTAGAGCCAGTGCCGGGTGGTGAAGATGAGTTTTTGCCTGCATGGATCTTAGTAAACACAGTGACCTTGGTCCTTCCTTTAACTTAATCCACAAAAGATACGATGTGATTATCTGACTGGGAGTCTACTGGGCTGAAAACAGCTCATTGACGTTTAGCTGTTTTGTAGTGAGTACAGAGAACTGCAAAGATCACTACAGATACTTCCTTTTAACCAAGTTTCACAGCATTTCATTAATTTAGTGAGCAATGTGAGAAAGAGTGAAAGGACAATGGACTGTATCAAAAAACTGCAGAGCCTTGTAGTTAAAGTATACAACAAAGGTAATTGTGCAGCCTGCTATGTACATCTTCATTTAACGAACAATGGAGAAGGAAAAAAAGAAAATTAAAGGACAGCACAAAGTTTTCTTTCGCAGCCTAAAATCGTAAAATGAAAGAATATGAAGTTTTCTGACGATAAAGAAGAAACTAGTAAAAGCAAGAAATTCGTGAATATATGTCTGTCAAAATAATCACTTTTTTATTTGACTTTGATTAAAGCAGATGTAGACAAAAGCAGGTTTTTTATTTCTACTCGACAACAGGACTGACACTATACTGTTTTCCAGAATTAGTTGGAGTTGACTAATGCGGTAACGTTATTTAAAAAGGAGAATCTCATGCAGGGGCTTCTTATTTGAGTATAATAACATTGTTGAATCTATCCCTGACATTATTGCTTGTGTTTTTGCAAAGGCCAATAAAAACTAAACTATCCTTAAAACCGTTTTAATTGCACAGTATTACCCAATTGTACCATTTCAATATAGAGAGAGAAACACAGCTTGAGAGGTCACAAAGCTATGATTAGAAAATAATTGTCTGAGTTTAACAGTCAGTTCACCTTAAATTAACTAATTTTGAATTAAACTGTGAAATCTGTCTGTCTATAATCTTATCAAAATTTCAGGCTCGTTGTTTTCAGGTTCTTTAAACCCAAATTATTTTGGGACATGTTTATAATCATTTCTGTCTGGGTTTTGTGTTGTGAAGACAATTTTGGAGGTTGACACTTTTACTCCAGATTACTTTTGTTACTTTCAACAAAATAAACTGATCATAATGATCATTTCTTTTTGTGAACGTGCAGTGGAGCATTCTTGTTCGGTCGCATTTGCTTGAGGAAATTACACTAACAATCTAGCTGTGTTAACTAGCTGCCCAATAAAAATGTCAATGTCTTCTGTCCTTTTTCTTTCTGTCGTAAATTTGCTTACAACACAGGATTGAAAATGTGTCTGAATGCGTTTGTCTCCTAGCAACAGTAAAAACGTCACTGTCCGTATGTGGTCTACAAATCTACTGTCGTGACGAGAGGAGGTAGAGGATGATGGAGGAAAGAACGTGATTAAGGTTGGAGTGAAAGACTGAAGGGAGGGAGAAATGGATGAATGGAATGAATGAAAGGATATAAATTACTAGGTACAGATACTTGGAAGTTCACACATGCAAGGAGGGAAATAAAAACTTAATGAGGTGCATCGATGGTCTCACCCTGGTGTGTGTGTGTGTGTGTGCTTACCTGAGTGTGGGACAAGTGGGTGCTCCATCTTGTGACAGGGTGACTCAGGCAGCAGCACTGGCCCTCTCCTACCGGCCACGCCTGCAGGCCGCAGGACCAGCATGCACTGCAGCAAGAGCAGTGCATGCTGGGTAAAAGGGCGTCCCATGGGGGCCTGGGCTTGGCTCACTTTTCCTCAGGCCTCAGGGGGCCAAGACCATTGGAAAGACACACCTGAAGAGACGGGAAGAGAAACAGAGTCAGGTTTGGGTTTGAACAAAGGCTGATCTTACATTTCATTTAATCCAAGCGCTGAAAAAAGCTATCGCACACTATCGCACCTCTGCATCACTCCAGCAGATGCAAAGCAGTAAAAATAAACCCTCATGAAATGTGAACCAGGGAGAGAGGTGCAAAGACGAGCGAGTGATGGGGGGGAAAAGTGTTGGGAGCTCGGGCTCCTCACAGACACAGAGACCTCACCTCTCTCACCTCTGAAACCCGCTGGAAGAATCACACACAGCTCTGCATGAACTCCAACACCTAATGAGTGCCTCTATGCGAGTGCGTCCTCTTATATCTCAGATTACATCCCTTTGTGCGTGTCTTTGTTCCCACTGCAGAGGAGCTTTCTTGTATTTAATGATGAAGGGCAGCCATTCTTACATGTGTGCGTGTGTGTTTTCCATTATTAAGAGACTGTTTCTTTGTGGGTGATGGATGTGTCAGCTGCACGGCACTCCTCCTCATTGCTCAATTAAACCCTATGGCTGCGGTAAATCTGATTTGTTTGTATTCACACACCCGTATCCTCAAATTGCTGGATATTATACTATAACACTTACAGCCTACTCATTCATCCTGGAAAAGCTATTTGCTGCAAGAAAAACAAAGCCGTTTGCACAACTCAATTGTTCATAATTCCTTTCTCTTATGTGTGGGGGTGTATTGATAAGCGGTCTAGACCATCTACATCATTACTTTTTAATCATTCATGTCATTCTATAACAAGGAATGATTCACGCTGAGCACATCAGAAGAATAAGCCTCCCTGACTGTATCCCACATTATGAGTGAATATCTTCGCTATAAAAGGGCGAGTAATGGCAATTTGGCTTTGCTAAAATGTGTCATATTGCATTCTGTATCCGAGCCTGCGGAGCGGAAATGGACTTTTCATTTGTTGTCCACTCATTTGGGGGAAAAAAATATTTTGTAGAGGAGGAACAGAACAATCCTCCGTCCATGACAGATCTGATCAAGTGGTGAATAAGCAAAACTATTTTTTTGCACAAAAATCTGCACAGTGCTAAAAAAGCCAAAAGCCAAAAGGAGCTGTGGTGGTGAACATTTACTCTCTGCAGACAAACCTCGTCTCCACTCCTCTCTGAAGTATAAATCGTCCTTAGAAAGCTGGCTCTGGGGTAACATAACACACCTAGAATGGAAAGTTTATTCTGCCTTTAGTGTGCATGAATAGGCTTCGTGACCTTGGGGCTTTTATGGAATTCATTTAAAGTCCAATGTATAAGTGCTCGCTGCAGTGGGGATATGTGGTTTGCCTTCACCCGCGGAGTAATGTAAAACACCTGTCATCCACAGCGGGGGGAAACCAAGTGACAGCCACTGCCACTTGCCTCTCTCTGTTCCTCTCTCCGTTCATCTTGATGATTCACTCGTCAGCTTCTATACGCTTTTGCGTATTCGCTTTAGTCGCTCTGTCATCTTACATGTCACTTTTCTTTGTCTGCCACTTTCCTTGACAGTTTCTCCTAATTTTTCTCCTCAGTCACCAGAGAGCCATTTTACCTGTTGCAGCTGAAAGTGAGCAAGTCGTTTTCAGCGGGTCGTCTGTTAGCTGGAACATTCTTCTTGTCATTTTTTATTGAGTCTTATAAACTTTTATGTCTGCATTCACTAAGCGAAAAATATTTCATAATCTGCTGGGCTCAGAGGTGAACTTGACATAGGAAATGAGATTATTGCTGTTTTTGCAGTCGTGTGTGTAATTTAAAATACTGCAGGTATTCACACACTCCAACACACACAGACGTTCCCTGTGACAGGAGCAGGAGCCGAGGTCAGCGGGTTTGCTGACCTTGCTCCCTCTGCTACATCTCTGCACACGACCTCCTGTCAACCCGTACATGTCTCCGCACACATGCGTATTCAAAAATCACACAAGTTCCACCATCACGTACATGTGTCATATCTACTTCTATGCAAGCTATCACGTGACAATTTCAGCTTTCTCTGAGTTTCGTGGGGAGCTAATGAGATTTTAAAAGTCATTTGATTGTGGTTGAATATAACCTTAAAGATGCCCTGTGTAGTTTTTTTTGTAAAGAAACTAAACTTTTTGTTACCTAAACACCTTGTGTGTTCCTTGAAGTCCATCACCCATGTTTGCTAGAGCGTTGTCTTCTTCTTCTTTGCCTTTCTTGGGGCATTGGTAATTTATTTTTGCACATTACCACCACCAACTGGCAGTCAATGGAATAGCGTGAGTTTTTGCATCCTGCATGATAAAATAGTCTTTATATAAAGATGGGCAACAGGTCTACCACTTCCTGCCAATATCCTCAAATGAAGCCAAAATATTAAGGATGCGAACGCCACCATCTTGCACATTTTGTCTGTGCAGCACTGATCCAGGGAGGGAGTTGCGATAGCAATGTCTAATCTTGAGCTGTTAATCGTGACATTTCAACTCATTTTTACAGCATCAAACGACTAATAAAAACCAACCTTTTAGGAAAAGATAATACTTGAACACACTTCAGTGTGATAAGAACCATCTTTGAGAAAAAGTTTGTATCATGTCTGCTAACCTTAACGAGGCAAGATTTATGGCCTGGTGGTGATTAAGATGCTTTGGCTTCACTTTTTGGGAGCTATCAAGTCATCCATCTTTATATTCAGTCTGTACATGATACATATCGGGACCAACTAATGAAACCATTGCTCATAATATCATAAGAGGTCATAAACAAAAAAATGTAAAACAGCAGGTTTGATTTAGAAGAATGAAGGAATCTCAATTATGTCCAATTTGACTTTTCTTTGAATCTCAATTCTTTTTTTATTTAGCAGTGAGAAATGGCATTTTGCATATTTAATGTCAGAGTCAAATTGCATATGAGCCCTCATTGTGTTTGCCTTATACTTCCAACATCTGGTTTGAATAATTCTCCACATGCTTCCATTGCTGCATTTGCATGATGATGAACTCTAATGAAAACCTGCCATTACGCAGTGACACACAGGAGACCTCTAAACTCTGAGATACTGTAAATATTTATAAGCCATAAATAAGAAAATGCACATGTCACTTTAAAGCCCCTTGGATAACCTGATTTATACCACACATCATTTGCATCATGCCTTTTTATTTAAGTGAGTGTCAGCCAGGAGATGATTTAAAACCGAACTATTTGAACTGTTGTTTCATTCCCCTGAAGTGATCTCTGGTGGATCCGATTTTCTCTTTAACTCACAACAAGCCATGCACTGACAGGTCCTGTGGGAGAAAACTGGAAGAGCTCTCTGAGCTGTTCGGTGGTCTAAACCCTAAATCTTCTCCAGGGCATCAGAACAAGCCTACACCACCACCACCACCACCACCACCTCCTCCTCCTCCTCCTGCTGCTCCCACTCCTACTCCTTTCTCCGTCTCTCTCACACTTCTACAAATATGGACACACAGGAGCGTTCATACAGCGCCGAAGCATTTACAGCACATACATACAGTGAAATCACCTTGGGACCAGGTGATGGATAACACCAGAGTACATTCAGTGCACGGAGCAGAGAGAACCTGAGCCACACAAAAACTTAACATGGGGTAAACGATATTGTCATTTGAAATGTATGTACAGAGCAGATAATAATATATCATGCAAGCCGAGATTATGTGAAACTTTGATGTTCTATTTCTGAGTTTTTTTCATCTGATTGGTTTGCTTGTGTATTTGTATGCATAAGAACTGTAAGAAGGTGTGTATTATATCTAACCATACACTTTTTGTTACTATCGTGATATGCACTGTTTTGCTCTTTCAAACCTAGAAGGGCACTTACAGAACATACCTCCACCAAAGCTGGACTTTACCACCCTGTTGCATAAACTGTAGATGTATTGAGATCAGATACGATGTACAAAAGAACTTGTCTGCAAACTCTGTACAATTTATCATAAAAATCTGATATAATACAAATCGCTTAAAAGAAATCCCCAAAACATTAAAAGCGTCCTATATCGCAATATTAAAGACAGTGAAAAAACTCTGCTGGAATCGGCTACTTAAAGAAATCCACATCCAAAAGTTTCCAACAACTTTCAAGACAATTGGTTCAGTAGTTTTTGTGTAATCCTGCTATAAGTCTGAGAGAAAAAGCCATGAAAACATAACCTTTTTGGCGGATGCAATAAAAAAGAAAAGCAACACGATTACAGACCATCATCAGTACCTTGCTTTATCACCCACACATGCAAGTTTCTGGCTATGTTAAACTCATCAGGGTTATATCCGAGGTCGTTTCTGCGTCCATAGCACACAGTCATCCATGAAAATGTCTCAAATACAATCAGTCATCAATCAGATATTAGACTTTGCATGAAAAGTATGCATGACCGTAAGCAGGAGCATTTTAAGGAACTTTTGGGACCCAGGCACAAAATCAAACTCTTCCTTGTAGTCTTCAACCAAACCTCTTCTGAACTCGGGGCCACAGCCAACTGCCGTAAAACCCGCGCAAAACAACATCATAACCATCGCTTAAAAACAAATAAGATGTATCGTAATCTTTGCCCATTAGAGACTAGGAAAAATAGTTCAATCTCAATTTCATGATCCGCAGACCCATACTTTAACCTTAGCCATAACAACTAAATGATCAACCATAACTCTAAAATCTCCCTGAACTCGAAAACCAAGTCTTAATGTCCAAAATGTCCTCACTTTCTAAAAATGTCTTGCCAAAGGTCAAAAAACTAAAAATGTGCAGACACATACACACACACACACACACGCACACACACACACACACTCCGTATCTCTGCATTTCGGCTGTTGAGGTGTCGGCTAACTAATCAATTGAAGTCTTCCTGCAGTAACGAGCGGAGAGAGGATCATATTAACACCAACATTGATTTTGTCTGAGGGCGACTTCATGATGCTTACATTACACCATACATAATGAATAGACCCCCAAACAATCACCGGGTTTGTGTT